ATGTAAAATGACATCACTAGTAGTACTACGGTCTTTCTCTCTCAAGACAGTAATTTAAGTCCCACTATGCCAGTCTATTTATTCAGTTAATAACATGCAATGCTCTGAAGAAAAAAATGTTAAGTACATTATCCTAACAAGAACATTTACGTAAATGAAATTAAATGTTTCACTGCTGTTATTGTATCACATAAAAAGTGATGAATGAATTTTAATCGAAATTAAAATACAGGTTATATGACATATACAAAATTCTCTTTGGGGAGCCCCAGTATGCACTTTAAAAAAGACATACATACAGTCATCCTCCAAAACAACTGAAACTGTGAAGAGAAGCATGCTATAATTATTAAGATGGTATAAATAGAGGAAAAAACTATGATTTTATATATGAGTCCCAAATTAAAAATATCATGGGCTAGATTTCCAAAGTTAAGGTACTAATGAATGATTGAACTGCTATTCTCTTGGGCACTTTAACAGTAATTATCCAGGGAGATTAGCAAAATTAATGAAGGTTAATATTTCAGAGTAACGTGGGCTAGGCCAGCCAGTTTAATAGCAATAGTAACACACAATGCTCATTTCTGTAAGGGTGTTATCTCTTATCCCGCTTCACCACTCTTTTCCTTCTCTCCCTTTTGTTTTTCTCAGCATGAGTGGCTGACATAATTACAAGTAACAGTACTACTTTTGCCTCCATTGAAAGGAAACAGTTCAGCCACAGCATCCTGGAAATCTTGCATGTGTCCAAAGAAGCCAGAGAGGTAAGGACTGAACCGCAGCTAAATCTAAGTCTTGGCAGAAGGCCATATGATCCTCCTGGAACTTCATATGGACACAAGAGGCGTGTGAGAAGTTGTTATGTGGCCATTTCCCACTCTCCTCCCTCTCTCTCTAAGATGCTATCAAGGAGAATAGTTTATCATCTCCTCTCATGTTTGGATAAAATATCAGACCTTCCTGCCTCACCCTTCCAGAGCATATCTGCAAACTACAGAACAGCTTAGCTGCAGTATAGAACTGACTCTTCAGCAGCAGGGTGTCCTACTTCTCAAGGGACAATTGTCACCTAGTCTCCTTTCTTTCAATGTCACATTTTTCAAGTATAGAACAAGGGACACAGAGAGCTGGTGGCACCTTTGGCTATTCTTTCTTTCTCTGCCCATGTAAGTAATAACTGTCTGAATGTGAAATGGGTTGACTGTTTTTCTACCAGCCAAATTTGTCAGGCCATGCCTTGTTTAATGCTTGAACCTATTTCATGCCAATCTTCCTTAGTGAGCAACAAGAAAGAGAGGAGGAAGGAAATGGAAAGAAGAAAGGATGGTAAGAACCCAAAGTCAATAGATTAACAATTCTATCCAATTTTTCAAGAAGAGAATGAAGAAAATTTATATTATATGCTCCTACTCCTCTCTAATAATACCAAAAGAGGGATTGGGCCTGGTTCAGTGTAACTAAATTATAGGTTTGATAACCAAATTATAGATCTGACAAGTGAAAAATCCAGCAAGGCAAGAAATCACCCTCAACTCATAAGGTCTAAATTTGAACTAAAGTTTAAAAGATAATTGTGACATAATTTACAAATCTTAATTCACCTGCAATTTGTATTTTTACATATAAAGACCTAAGAATTAAAATATATTACCATCACGGGAAACTTAAATGAAGATTTAGCATGCCACTTCTGAAAGACTGTCAACATGTACAAAAAACACAAAAACAGTCCAGTCTAGTAAGTTTGTGACAGTATAACTGGCTGTACTTTATCTCTCAAGACAGTAATTTAAGTCCCACTATGCTGGTCTATTTGTCATATCCTTTATCCTTTCCCAATTCCTTCCTGTCATCCTGCTTCTTCCTGACTCTCTATTTTTCTTATTGGTATTACAATTTGGAATGCTTACCAATCTTCTTTCCACCCACCTCCATTTACCACTTCCTCTCAGAATAAACATCCTTTTTTGCTAACAAATCTTAGCTATTCCTACCCTACAAAAACAACATAAATCAGTGGTCTAGCTCAGTTTTTCTCAGGTTTTTATGTGCATATATTCCTACTGAAACACTTGGAATCTTGCAAAAATGCATACTGAAGAAAAATGTATACTGATTTAGTTGGTATAAGGTGGGGCCCAGAAGTCAGCATTTCTAATAAGCTCCCAGATGATGCCAATGCTGCTTGGTCATGGTTCACATTTTGAACAGCAAAGATTTAGCTGATTAATTTGATCCTGACACATAATAATCTGACTCCATTATATATAGTCTATTTCTGTTATCTTTTACTTTTATACTTAAATATGAAGGAAAAGAGCACAAAAAATATAAATGCACCAGTATTTCTAGGCTTAAACCTTGCTCTCCAAAACCTTGCTACTCAAAGTATAGTCCACAGACCAATACTGGCAATACATGAGAGTCATGCTCTTATGTTATAAAAGAAGGCTGAAATTTTAAAATGTTAGCTTTTCTTTATTTATTCATAAGTCAAAAAGCATTTTTATGGGGACAAGGCACTAGGAAATAAAAAGTTGTAAGTTACCCTAAAGGGCCTCTCTAAAATGATCATTATTTACTTAAATGTTCTCTGGTGGCACCAAAAATAATATTGGAGAAAGCACAGTATTAATAGTTGCCTAAATGGCTTGAGATCACGGATTAATTTAACTAAATAAATCAACTTCTCCCAAACCTTTATAACTAGAAAATTATTTCAAGGATGTTAACGTGTGGGCTGAGAAAAATGTTACCCCTATTCAAATCCTCTTGGTTAGCTATCAGTCAGATTCTTCATATGGGTTAGGAGCTAGAGCCAAGGACTTCAAGAACATGTGAATTACTGAAAGGCAAAAAATATGGAAACATTCTCTTTTACATCCATAGTTTTCATCAGATTTTCCAAAGGTTCCCTTACCCAAAAATAATGAAGATGAATGCTGCCAAAGTGTATAACAAGTGTATTTTTTACTACAGGATTTCCCTGGGCCTTGACTATACTTAAACGTATTGTGAACTTTCAAAAGAGGGAGTTAGCGGAGTACAGCGATTTTTCAAACTTTCCTGATTACAAGCCTTGAAAACTTTGTTCTTAAGCACCAAATATTATCTCCATAAACTCAGCACCACCTCTTAAGGCCACAGCCAAAAAGTACCACTTCAAACTTGAAAAGAGTATCTTTTAGCCATAATATTACAGATTTAAGTTAATAAAAATATTTTAACATGGTACTAGACTTTAGAAAATCCTTCAAAAATCATATAAAACCTAAAAAAAAGAGGTTTACACCGTGAAATTTCAGTACATTGGAGAAAGAAGATTCTGAAAGCTTTTGAACATAAGCAAATAAAAACATTCCACAAAAATCAAGATTTAAAATGGCATTGGATTTCACCAATCCAATTTCATTGGATTTCACAACTGTAGCACTGGAAACTAGAAGACAACAGCGCAATGTCCTCAAAATTTTCAGGAAAAATGTATTCTAACTTAGATTTCTATAACCAGGAAAACTATCCGGCAAATTAGAGTGTTGCAAATATTTAATGTCCCCAAAAATATATTCTCATACACCATTTATAAGAAAGCGCCTGTAGGCCATATTCCAATAAAACAAGAAAGTAAATTGAGAAAGAAAAAGTCTGAGCTAGGCCGGGTATGGTGGCTCACGCCTGTAATCCTAGCACTCTGGGAGGCCAAGGCAGGTGGACTGCTCGAGGTTAGGAGTTCGAAACTAGCCTGAGCAAGAGTGAGACCCCATCTCTACTATAAATAGAAAGAAATTAATTGGCCAACTAATGTATATAGAAAAAATTAGCCGGGCATGGTGGCGCATGCCTGTAGTCCCAGCTACTCGGGAGGCTGAGGCAGAAGGATTGCTTGAGCCTAGGAGTTTGAAGTTGCTGTGAGCTAGGCTGACGCCATGGCACTCTAGCCGGGGCAACAGAGTTAGACTTTGTCTCAAAAAAAATAAAAAATAAATAAATAGAAAAGGTCTGAGATCAAAAAATGGGAGATGAAAGACACAGAGGAGTAAAAAGAATCCCCAGAACTATGATTAAAGAAGATCTCCAGGATGACAGCTGTGCAGAAGGCCAAGAAAGCAGCAGTCCAGAATGGAGTAAAAGGAAGGTAAGCTCTGGGAGGGAAGTGTCCCAGACAAAAGAAGATAAATGGCATATATTTTAAATATTTGAGTAAAGATATTTTTCTTCCCTTAGAGGAGTCTGGTAATTGGTTCATAGATATAAACAAAATATGGACAGAAAAAGGAGGCAATCATTAACCCTAAAGGGAAAAAATGTATATAAAATAGGAAAGGTAATCATGGTATATGACATATTCAACCATGAATATGAATATAGTTATGATCATATAAACACTGAATATTTATCTAATAAAAAAAAGTATGCAGTTAACACCATAAAGAGAACTTTAATATGATACTCAGTGGCTAGACTTAATAAAATAGGAGTTTAGTTCCTAAATGACTAAAAGCAAGCCTGTTTAAAACGTCGTTTCATCTATATATTCAAAAATTGCAATGTATTTAGAAGCCCACACTTCTTTAAATGAGTCAATCAAGAATCTAACCAAAAGTTACAGCTAAAGAGTTGGATGCAAAAACAGATGTAATATCAAAAGAGAGAGGATAGTAAAGCTTGGCATTTCTGGCTATTTTTCAATAACCTACAAAATTTGAAGAACATCCTCTGAGTTCACAGTAATCACATACATAGGAAACATAAGCAGCTTTAATCCGAAAAAAGAATAAGTGCCATGTTTTGCAACATTAATCTGCACCATTAAACCCAATTCCAAATATTGAAGTATTTTATAAATAGAAATCATTAAGGTAACTAAAAATGACTGTTCAAGTAGGTCTAGAACAGCATTTGCCCATCTAGCCGTAATGAAATTAAATGTGTCAACACGTCACAGTAAGATTACTAACATTTATGCTGATCAACATTCAACAAATTTCAATACTTACCAGTATTTTTAACTCTGCTTTTCAGCTGAGTAGAATTCCTTTTCTTACTCTTTGACTTGGGAGTTTTATCTTTAGATGCCAGGCTGGCCTGTGCAGATGCTTTTCTTGTCTTGAATGTTTTAGTTACTGTTGCTGGATCTACCGGATCAGGCATACTGCTAAAACTCTCTAATGATTCTTCATCAAACTGGCGTCTTCTCCTGCTTGTATCTAATTGATTTTTGCGGTTACCATTTGCAGTTTTCTCTACAGACACTGCAAATCCAGTCTTAATAAGTGGTTTTTCTACTTCGCCTCCTTGGTCATATAACCATGGTGTCCTACTACTTTCTACATCCTCTTCAGGCAATTTTTGATTCCTTAACAATGAAAACAAGTTTTTATAATTTGTAATTATAGAGTCCCTTATATACTGAAAATTCCAGATGAACTTAATTTATAGTTTACTTAGGAGTAGATTTAGGTGATAAGTCAACAAGCTGTAAAAATATTTACACAAAAATATGCACTGAATAGCAAATATTACATAGGCTAATGTACTAAATTACTTTAAGCTTTAATTCTGAACCCTTCTCACTAAACCATTTTCACTAGCAAATGTTCCATACCAAAGATCCAGCAATTCATGATGGAAAATAAAAAACAGTGGGAAAGAGCAATCAAGGGAAGATGGAACATACAAGAAAAAAACACAGAAAAGTGGCCTGGAAAGAGCTGTAGCAGAAGGTCTGGGAACATAACATGGACCTGTGTCACTTAAAGCAGTTGAAATAAAACCAAAATTTGGTGAAAATAATTGGTCACTCAACTAGTAATTTGTTTCTCCACTCACTAAGTCTAATTTAGTTCTGCTGGACTAGTGTCATTTTGCAAATTTTATCTGCTGAGTAATCAGATAATCAGTTTGGAAGAAAATAGGCAAAACAAAGTTAAACAGGTCAGTAAGATATCAAAATTTTTAACATGTCAACATGCTTTATAAATATCTTAGAAGGGCAGTTAGTGAGAAGTCCAAAACGTTATATCACAGAATCTAGCATGGACAACAACAATGTTCCTAAGAATAGTCTGGAAGACACTGACCTACAGGGTATAAATCAAGACAACAGTTAGAAACTAAATTCAACCTGCTGCCTGTTTTTGTATAGCGTAAAGGTAAGAATGGTTTTCATATTCGTAAATGGTTGGGGGGAAAAAATCAAAAGAAGGAAAATAGTTTAGGAAACATGAAAATTATATTAAATTCAAATTTCAGTGCCCATATGAAGTATTATTGGAACACAGTCCCATTCGTATTTATATACTAGGTCTGATGTTGTGCACAAAATGGCACAGATGAATGGCTAGATAGACACTGTATGGCCTGCAAAGCCAAAAATATTTACCATCTAGACTTTACAGGAAAAATTTGCTGACCCCTGAGGAAGACTACAAGGTTCATCTGACTTCTTGTTATTTCCAGTCATTTAATTCAAGGAACCTATGATAGTTGAGATTTTGAGAGATGAGGTCTAATCTGAAGTAGGTCAAATATCTAAAACAAGATTAGACATTCAGATCCATCCTAAAAATGATATAAATAGCTAATGTAAAACCAGAATAATTATTTACTATCATTTATATTTAAAACATGGATAATAATGAAGCAGAGACTTCCAGTAGGAAGGCCTATTCACTGAAGTATTGAATAAATGTTCACTGCTTGTGATATTCATTCAACCATCATTTCTGAATGTCAAATGCGTACTAAACACTGTTAGGGTCTGATGATAGAATACTTTTAAAGAACATGAGATGTAATAGGAAACAGTGGTTAAGACAGCTAAAAGAAGGAGTCAACAAAGACAGGAAGGTTACTCCCAGGATTCCTAAAGGTGAATAAAAAATTGGAATTCTAAGAGTTTCTAATCAGTTAAAACATCCCCAAAGTTCACGATTTAACAATCAAACATTGTCAAAATGCTAATTTAAGAGTCTAAGACCTGCCTAGACACAAAGCTAAAGAGAAATGTAATGTGAATTACATAGTTCCAAAGGACTAGAAAAAACAATCATAAATATTTCTGACAGAATATTAGATTCAATTGACCTCTAATATTTCATCCTTCTAAAAAGTTTTTTCTTAAGTAAATAACAATTACAATAAAAATGCTATATGATTTTCACCAACTGGCTATTAAAATCATTTTCTGGATTAACACAATCATTAAAAATATTACTTATCTAGCTATAAAAACACCTATACAGGCCGGGCGCGGTGGCTCATGCTTGTAATCCTAGCACTCTGGGAGGCCGAGGCGGGCGGATTGCTCAAGGTCAGGAGTTCAAAACTAGCCTGAGCGAGACCCCGTCTCTACTATAAAAATAGAAAGAAATTAATTGGCCAACTAATATATATATATATGAAATTAGCCGGGCATGGTGGCTCGTGCCTGTAGTCCCAGCAACACGGGAGGCTGAGGCAGTAGGATTGCTTGAGCCCAGGAGATTGAGGTTGCTGTGAGCTAGGCTGACACCATGGCACTATAGCCCGGGCAACCGAACAAGACTCTGTCTCAAAAAAAAAAAAAAAAAAAACACCTATACAGTAATTGGCCTCAGCCAGTCTTTCACACTATTTGAGTCAAAAGTTGTATTGTAATCCTAGCACTCTGGGAGGCCGACGCAAGTGGATTGTTTGAGCTCAAGAGTTCGAGATCAGCCTGAGCAAGAGCGAGACCTTTCTCTACTAAAAAAATATAGAAAGAAATTAGCTGGACAACCAAAAATATATAGAAAAAATCAGTTGGGCATGGTGGTGCATGCCTGAAGTCCCAGCTACTGAGGAGGCTGAGGCAGGAGGATTGCTTGAGCCCAGGAGTTGGGGGTTGCTGTGAGCTAGGCTGACACCATGGCACTATAGCCCGGGCAACCGAACAAGACTCTGTCTCAAAAAAAAAATTGTATTTTGGAAGATTATCACATTAAAAAATAATAAATGTAATAAAACAGAGAGAAAAAAATACTAACTATGATTAAGACCATGCATCATCAAAACTTACAAAAGTTGTTTTTATAATCTAATAGTACTTTATAATCTAATAGTATAATCTGACATTATATCTGAATGAGCTTTAGAAACTGATCCTAATCTGGGGCTAGGAATAATATGAAAGGACCATCACTGAACAACTATTCTCTAGCAAGGAATATTAGTTTCTAGTCCTACATCAGTGAACAGTGAACTGGCTTAAAGACAGGTATCAAATCAAGGACAAAAGACACCCTATGAGTCAGGTCATATCCTTCCAAAATGAACCTCACAGGACACCCTGCATCAAAAAACTCTGAATTTGTCTTGTACCAAGGTTACCAGCAGGTATCTGGTATTTTACCCAGTAATACCTTAAAGTTTTATATTCCCAGCACTATCAAGCCAAACAATCACACACATCCTCCCTGTGTTTTCAAATTACATATAATTAAATGTAATCACAAAAGTAAATGCTTTAGTAAGTAACTGGTTATGTTCATGATCAAGTACCTTGGTTTTTCGGCTCCAACAGAAGAACTGCTTTCAAAAGGTTTTGGAAAAGCCATATATTCTGTTTTCCCTGAAGAATTTTGGGCTAGTGGTTGTTGCTGTTCACTAGGTGTAGAGATATTCTGAGAAAAATCTCCAAAATTAGAAGGAAATAAAGGGCTGAAATTCACACCTAATAAATAAAAGCAAAGGATAAGAATAAGGTGCCTTTAGCCTTAAAATGAAATTAAAAGGCAGTTTTACTTAATTATGCCATTCAACTTCATAAAAAAATTGATAATTAAAATAAAGTAATATTCATTTATTCCTTCACTATTTACAGCTCAGTCCACTATAGTTTAGGAATTGGTGATACAAAGATGACTAATGATCCCCGCTCCCTTAAAAGTTAGAAATAATAGTGCCTAATATTTATCCAAATATTGTTGGGTACCAGACTCTACTGTAAGTATGTTACATGTTATTTTGTTTGATGCTGAACATGTTATGAAATAGGTATTATGTTCATTTCATCAATGAGTAAACTGACTTACAGATCAAATGTCTAATAAATAGAAAAGCTGATTACATGTTGGGTCTGTATGACTCCAAAACGTATGTTCTTTCTACTCTAATTTGGGAAGTAAAATACAATTAAATGATAGTTACAAAATAGCGCTACATATCACATGTGTCTGTAAGAAACTACAAACTTGGGGAGGAAGGGATCAGAAGGCTTCACAAAATCAAACTAGGTTATAAAGAATGAACAGTCTTTGCACTGTTGGCATAGATATGAAGTATATTACAGTGAAAAGGAACAGCATATGCAATTTCTTATTTATTATTTAAAGCCTACTCATATCATGTTTACTGCCAGTATTGACACTTAAGATCTAAAAAACTTGTTAAATTTTTTAATGCTACTGTTTTGAAAATACTGTTAAGAATATTTATGTTCACAAAGCCCTCCCAATCTCTTTTCTCCTTCTATATTTCCTGGCAAACACCTTCAATTCCTCCTCCTTCATGACTCACCTAACTGGTCACTTCATGTATTCATTCTACCTATATAATGTCTTTTCAGTTACTTCTTTTTCCTTACCCTTACTGCCAATACCTTAGGACAGGCTATCATTCCGTCCCTGATATTATTGCAACAGCCTTCTATTCACCAGCTAGACTCTCAGCTCCTTCCCTCCAATTTCTCAACACTACCACCAGTATAATCTTTCTAAAACATAATTCTATGTTATCCCCTGCTCAAAGTCATTTGATGGCCCCCCCCTTATCTGCAATACAAAGGCTAACTTCTTTGCATATCATAAAATGCCTCTGCCACTCTTCAGCCACATCAATTACTCTTCCCCTGCCTTAGCCCTAAATACTAGCAACAAGTGTGTTCAAGGTAATGAACACAGAGTTCATTAACTCTAAATTCCCTACCTGATATACTATTTCATTGCTTTGTAACCTGAGGCGGTTCCATTGATTAGAAAGCCCTTTCCCTTCTTATCTTCCTGGAAATAAATTCTATTCATTCTTTAACTTAAATATCACCTTTTCCAGAAAAAAACTGCTTTCCTGACACTTCCACAAACATTTGCACCACTGCTATAGTACCTGTGGCGCCACACTATATGCATTAACATTCTTTCCTTCCTCACTAGACTCTAAATTCCTTAAAGAAGTAGTCTTTCTCATCTTCAGATCCCAGTAACTTATATAGCGTATGGCATATTATGAGTACAGAAAAAGAGTCAGAATAAAAGCCTATGCTAAATGTGTTCACCTTTAGTCTAGCAGTATTATCTCCCTAACTAGACATGGTGTTCCTCAAGAAGAGCTTTGTCTTATTCATCTTTACTCTCCTAATGTTTGACATAGTGCCCTTGTGTGCAGCAGTCACTGGAGAGGTTAACTCCCTTAAAAAATAGTTGAATCAATCATTCCTAAGTAGTTTACTTAACTTCATTAACAACTATATCATTCAGCTTAAATTTTCATTATAAAGAAACAATGTAGGCCGGGTATGGTGGCTCACGCCTGTAATCCTAGCACTCTGGAAGGCCAAGGCAGGTGGATCGCTCAAGGTCAGGAGTTCGAAACCAGCCTGGGCAAAAGCGAGACCCCGTCTCTACTAAAAATATAAAGAAAATTAATTTGCCAAGTAAAAATATATAGAAAAAATTAGCTAGGCATGGTGGCGCATGCCTGTAGTCCCAGCTATTCGGGAGGCTGAGGCAGAAGGATTGCTCGAGGCCAGGAGTTTGAGGTTGCTGTGAGCTAGGTTGACACCATGGCACTCTAGCCCACTCTGTTTTAAAAAAAAAAAAAAAAGAAACAATGTAGAAAAGTTTATAACTTTCTTTGCAAACATTTCTTATCATTCCAAAAGAAAATGTTAAAAATCCATGCAATAGACAAAATTAAGTTTATTGAGAAAGGACAAGATAGGTTCACAGAGCAAGAGCAGTTTTTTTCCAGAAAAGGTGGTATTTTCACCATAGACAGACCCCTCTGTTGTAAGAAGAGGGCCAAGAAATCACATTCTCACTTTCCTTTTATTTTCTCTTTAGGTTTTTAGTTACCTACCTGGTGCAAATGATGAAAAGTTAGTAAATCCAGGTAGATTAAACAGATTTACCGGCTGTGTTGGAAAGCTAAAAGGACAAAATAAACCGGGAGAAGAAGGGTGTGATCCACTACTGCCTCTTTCCTTGCTTCCAGGTTTTTCGGTACACCGATTTTGTTGGTGCATGAGTTCATTTAGCATTTGTTTCAACCTACAAAAATTTGGGTCATCAATAAACTGAAAGTCAGTTATATTACCATCTATATAAAGTACATTCAGAAAGAACGTATGTAAGAAATGATTCAATGGCACACAGAACAGACTGACTCAGATAGTACAATACTTGCTTGCTCTACAGGCTTAATTCAATAACTTAGTCTATGGAACAAGAAGTGCTAAACTTAGCAATTATGCCAGAAAGCTGTTATAACTGTAAGAAACTCATTTGTTTGCTTGTTTATAGCTTTACTGTGGTGTAATTTATACGCCATACAGTTCACCCAATGTAAGTGTACAATTTGATAACATAAACTTTCGCACACAAAAGTCCACAGTATTAAAAGGAAACATTGGGCAAATCACTGCTTATAAAACTCTCAGGTGATAGAGAATATCCAAATATGCGTGCAATTTGATCCCCATTTCTCCCAGAAGATAACTGTAAAACATTCATTCAATTTTAACTCTTATTATACAGTCTCAATACTTCTAAGAAAGAGATTACCTCTGAACATTATTCTGTTGCCATGTTAGCTGAGTATAGCACTGGTTCAACTGGTGCATTATAAGGTGTACTTGAGGAGATGCTACATTGCTGGGCATAACACTATAAGGACCCGTGAGAAGAGTTTGCAGCAGACAAGACAGAGTCTATTAAAAGAAAATTTTTGTTAATAGTTACTGATGACTTGAGAAAAAATTGTATTGCTTCAAAAGTAATGAAGATAAAAGAAAAATTTATTTTCATACTAAATTTTACCTGCTGGTCTTGCATCAAAGTCTGACAAATACTGACACTGAAATCAAGCTGTTTCCTTAGCTGACTGATCTGTTCTTGCCATTGTTCTTTCTCTTCTACATAAGAGAGCTCTGACATCCAACGAAGGTTTTCTTGCCGTTGCATGCTGATATTCTGTTGCCTTGTCTTGGCTAAAGGACGATAATTTTCATCTGTTGAAAAACGGCGATTGTTCTTCCACCTAACACAAGATTTAAAGCATTAAAAGTCATATGTAATAATCTGATTTTTTAAATATGGCAATAAGCCCTGATATCTTGGTCTATGGACTGATATTTTTTTTTTTTAAGTGATGGGGTCTCCTGCTGTCACCTACGCTGGAGTGCAGTGGTATAATCATAGCTCACTATAACCTTAAACTCCCGAGCTCAAGCAATCCTCCTACCTTAGCCTTCCAAGTAGCTGGGACTAGAGGCGTGAGCCACCATGTCCAGCTAATTTTTTTATTTTTTGTAGAGACAGGGTCTATGTTGCCCAGGCTGAGCTCAAACTTCTAGCCTCAAGTGACCCTCCCACCTAGGCCTCCCACAGTGTTGGGATTACAGGGATAAGCCACTGCCCAGGACCTCAATATTCTAAGTTCAAAGGACTTATAAAGTATGAAAAATAGAAAAGGGGATAATTCTAGACTTTTACCCACGTACAACTATCATTTTTAATTACTTTCCAGTCATTTTCATTTATGTTTTTATACAAAAGTGTCTAAATAATTTTGTATTCTGCAAAATGAAAACATTTATGACAAGCACTTTTCCATTCTTCATGCTTTAAGTTTAGCCACACAACATTTCATCAAGTGGGGCTACTATATCTACTTTACCATCTTTTACTCACAAAGATTTCCACTGCTATAAATAACAATTTAATAAATGTTTTTCAACAGACCTTTTGTACTAACTAAAATTTGTCATTTTTGCTTAATTCCCAAAAACAAGAGTGAAGATGAAAGTTCATGAATCTTGATCCAGTCCAACTAGGATCACAGGATTGCAGCCACACCCTTCTGGTACAATAAATAATATATCTGTTCTTTGTCCCTGGTTCCTGACAGAGAATTCCTAAAACTCTTAGCATCTGTTGAGTGACAGTCTTTCATTATTCATAATAAGCCCCTTTCAATCAGACCTCAGTTTAAGTTAATGAAGAGACTCTTAGAGAACCCTAGATAGCTTCATAATGGGAGGGAGGTGGTGGTCACCACAAAAACCAACTAGGTCATTAGAGGGTTATAATTTTCAGACTCACTCCCCTGACTTCCAGGGAGGAGAGAGGGGTCAGAGTGACCGAGCTCAACCACCAATGACCAATGATTTAGTCAATCATGCCTACATAACGAAACCCCCATTAATGAAACCTCTGACCAACGGAATTCAAAGAGTTCTCAGGATGCTAAACACATCAAAGTGCTGGGAGGGTGGTGCATCCAGAGAGGGCATAGAAGCTCCACATACCTCCCTACCTCATACCTTGTCTTAATATAGCTCTTCCATTTAGCTGTTCATGAGATGAATCCTGCATAATTGGCAAATATAAGTAATTGTTTTCCTGAGTTTTGTGAATTGTTCTAGTGAATTATCAAACCTGAAGGAGGGTTTCAAATGAACTCCCAAATTTGCAGCCAAGCTAGACAGAAGTGTGCATACCCTGGGGACCATGCACTTTAGGCTGGAATCTGAACTGAGGGCAGTCTTGTGGAACTGAGCCCCTTAACTTGTAGGGTCTGCACTAACTCTGAATAGGTAGTGGCATTATTGAAATGAATTACAGAACACCAAATTGGTTTGGAGAATCACAGAATTACTTGGATGTCAGTCAGACAAGAAAGACCTGAGACTCTAAATCAAACAAAAAACTGAAACACTGAAACTAACCTATTTTTAGTTTCCTTTACATTATAGGAGTTATGAGTCACACTGTTAGAAGGATATGTAGAAAAGTTATCATTAGAACTGGCATCTTGTTCTTCTTCCTCCTCTTCATCTGTCCGAACAATTCCTTCAGAGAGGTAACCATCTTCATCTCCTTCTTCATCTAGTGCACACTGGGTAGAACCTCCCCAAGTTGCCATTGTTCTGGTAAGTAAAAAAACATAAAACAAATTATCATTCTGGAGATAAGTGAAATACTTTACCATCTACTATATGCCAGACATTGTTCCAAACATATATGTATATATACACACATATCTGTATATAAAATTTCATTACTCTCCCTATTGCTGTAATGTAAAATATATTTAGTTTGCCTTCCACAAAACAACTTTTTTTTTAAAGAGGCAAGGTCTTGCTCTATCACCCAGGCTGGAGCGCAGTGGCACCATCATTGCTCACTGTAGCCTCGAACTCCTAAGTTCAAGGGATCTTCCTGTTTCAGCCTCCCGAGTAGCTGGGACTACAGGTGCACACCACCACACCAACTATTAATAATTTTAAAAATTCTTTTGTAGAGATGGGGTCTCACTATGTTGCCCTGGCTGGTCTTAAACTCCTGGCCTCAAGCAATCCTCCCACCTCAGCCTCCTGAGTCACTGGGATTACAGGTGTAAGCCACCATACCCAGCAGAAAAGTTCTCTAAGAAGAAAGTGAGGCTTGGTGCAATATTCCAGATGCCATCTGAGGATATCAAAAGGTAAGATTGTAAATAAATCTGGATTTCAAAATTTTAGATCTGAAAATTACTATATAGCTAAGTATTTGATCTTACAGATGATCAATTCTTTTAGAAATATTGTAAATATGAAAATTTCAAACTTAAATCCTAAAACTAAATGTTTTATATAATGTTTTAAGATCTTCAGGAACCTTACAAAGAATAGATGTTCGATTTAAATTTAAAAAGTGCTTTTCTCTGGCCTGACAGAAAAGAGTACAAAATATCAAGCATTTTCTTTTTATAAGCTTAAAACTTGACTATGAAAATAAGGCTTACACATACAAGGGAATCTGTATCACCCGTTTGATCAAAGGCCATAGTAATTTAAAACAAAAGAGAAAGCCGATGCTCTAAGAAGTTAGAACAGAAAGTGGCTGGACTCAGTTAATTTAAGTCACAAAAGTGATATTTAACACTAGCATCACTGAAATAGCATATCTGTGCTGTGGTGCAGAGGGTAAATGGGGCCGTCGAGCCTACAGGTCTTAGGTAGAGGATGTTAAAAAAAAAGTGATTTATACAACTCTTACTTTTCTGTTCTACTTTGTTGAGGAGTACACAGGTTCTCAGATCCATTGCTTCTCAATGACACAGCCACTGGAGATGTAGTTTCAGCTATACCTTGCCTCCTCTGATGTTCAGCCATCAGAGCTTCAAGCTGCTTTCTTCTCTGACGCAGCTCTTCCCTTAACATTTCATGTCTTCGCATTTCCGACCACAACTAAAAATTAGTCAAATAAACATTGGATTTGCTGTAGCCTTAAAGAATAACGGGCTAATAATACTGTCAGTATCAACAAAACTTCCTATTCTTACTCTATCCTTTTTATACTAAGACATCCATGTAAAATAATATATGAATAAGAAAAATTAGGCAATCATTAATTCTTAATAAAAACAAGTAGTACCCAAATATACTTCAGAAACTACTTAGAAAAAGTTATGACATTTTCTACAAATTACATGTAAGTAGAATGTCAAAGGATAGCTCTTTCTAACTGAAATGATTACTCTTTGCCACGACTACCCTCTTACATGTAATTCTGCCTAATATTTACTAATAAAGAATAGGAATATTTTTAAAAGATCCAAACGTAGTTATTATCTAGAAAATATTGGTTTCTTCCCCCAACTAAAGAACACAAACTATCATTTAAAAACACGTTTTACAGATACTCAGTTTCCCTTTTGAAGATGTGTTTTAAGACCAACTCAGAAACAACAACAGGGTACAATTTATAATACCTCATTATCTACTACTGAAGAATCTTCTGGCTCAAAAACAGATTTGCTTGTACTTGTCTCATTTTCATTAACAGTTGGTGTTGAAGTAATAGCTGGCATATATTTTTTTGTGGGACAATTACCCATACTGGCAGCTGACAGCTAAAAAAGAATTGATAAAAAATTATTGTGAGGAATTAAAGCAACTATATTCATTTCATAAAAGTAGTCATTTTACTTCTTCTTTAGAACTCTAGTGCCATATTTAATATGTTATTACCAGATTCCAATTGCCATCACCATACAAACATAATCTGACATAAGAAAACAAAAATGTCTACAGTTGATAAACATAATAGTAATTCTCAGGAAGAACAAAGACAATATGAATAAAATATTATGGAAAATTTTATATACTCAACACAACTCTGCCACATTATTCCTCCATTATTCAGATTGGGGATAAGGAGAAAAAGGATTAAAGTGGAAAAGAGTCTAGAAAATAAACAGCTATATTAGAAACACTTCATTTGATGTATTTCTCTTTCTTTGAAAACAAAATCTAACTGAAGATAAAGCTAACCAATTAATTTTACAAAAATATCAAAAAGAATTGTTATTACCTTTTTATATCATTATCTGATTATGATAAATGGTCAAAGATATCTTATTCTCTGTTCAATCTCAAAAACTAATGAATAAGCAAAAGTATGCATAGAATATTCAAACTACATATAATTACTTTCCTTAGATAACCCATAGTGGCTTAAATGCTTTATTATGTAATTTTAGGCCAGTAAAAGATGGAAATGCTGGCCCATAACTACAAAATTTAAAGCAGAACATTTTAATATAATAAATAGTTATAAGTACTTATGTTCTCAATCTACTAGCCTGCCCAGTAAGTAAAAGAATGAAAATAATCAGAGTCAATTCCTATGTGCCATTTTTCATATGTATATCCACAACCCATGTCATTAGTTCATATATTTTATTAACCACAAAACTGATACACATCTGTCACTTCAGCACTTGAAAAAGACAGAGTACTTTCAGCTGACATTAGGTTTTAAACATCTTTCATCAAACAAATGGAAAGAAATAAATTTCATAATTACCTGTAGGTCAGGACATGCCTTTTGCAATGCTTGAATTTTCTCTTGAATCTCAATCAGTTTCTTTCTTTCTTCCTGTAATTGTTTTAGCTCTTTCTGTTGCTGCTGTAGTTTAGCCTCATAAAATTTCTCTCTATAATTAAATTGACATTATATTTATGGACTCTAATAAAATCTGACGACAGCATTAAGTACAACATAACACATTACTTACCTGAGTACCTTCTCTATGACAGGCACTAAATTTTTATTAAATGAAGGCCAAATGTTTAATGTACCTTGTCTTTTCATTTACTCCAGCATCTTTCTGTGTTTTATTGGCATTTCCTCTAGTATTATTTGAATTTTGTTTGGTGTCTTCTTCAGCTGGGTAGAAATCATCCAAATTTGAAGTATTGGCAGATATAACTCCTTCAGTTGTATCATCATCCTAAAACAGCATCATAATGTTAAAACAATCTTGATACCTAAAGTCATCATCTAATTCACACCTTGATACATACTACTGGTCTATAAAATTTATACAACATTAAAAAATTAAAGCAGTAGAGAAAGTATATGTTTGTATACATGTTTATGCCACCTGTTCCATTCAACAACTCTTCCTGTAACAGGAGAAATGTGGAAAAAGCCAATTTCCATAATGGCTAAACAAGCCACATTTCCATATATATATATATATATATATACACACCAATATAATATATATATACCAATATAATAAAATGTCATCAAGGGTATGGAGAAATGGGCTCTCTCATATACCACTGCTTAGAATATCAAATAATACAGTCATTCTGGAGAGCAATTAAGCAGTGTCCATTAAAATTTAAATGTACATAAACTCTAACATAATAATTTCATTTCTTCATATCTATTCTTGAAAAACACAAATGCATGGAGGCTTGTGCAAAAATGTTCCCTGGAGCATTACTTTAACAGTGAAAGATTAGAGACAACAATCATGTACAAAAAATAACACCTCTTCAATCTACTTCACTCAGCAAAAAACAACAACAAAAAACCCTTGTTTTTGTGAATAAAGCTATACTGGCACAGAGTCACACTCATTTGTTTACATATTATCTACAGCTGCTTTTGCATTGAGAAGTTGTGACAGAGAATGTATGACCCACACAAAGCCTAAAATCTACTGACTCACCCTTAATAGAAAAAGTCTGCTAACCTCTAATGTATGGCACATACAGTGCCAAGCATTTAAAGCTGGCATATAATAAATGTGTATGAGTATAGTTACACCACACAATTATCAGACACATACACAAATTTTACTTTATAATTATGACTGTACTATTTGACAAATAGTTTTTTTTAAAAACCAATCAATATTTACCTGTACCATAGCAACAAGATCTTGTAACTGTCTAAGTTTCTGTTTTGCAGCCATAAGTCTATTGATCTTCTGTTCAAATTCAGCATCTTCTGGAGCCTCATCAACCAGACTGCTCCTATGACTAGATAAAGAAGCTCCACTAGCTACCTCCTCTTCTGCTTCTTCCTCCTCTTCCTCCTCTTCTTCCCCTTGTGCAACAGGAATCTCCTGTTCTCCTTCTCTATTATATCGACAATCTGCTGAAAACATGTATAACAGAAATCAATCATTTTTTTCAAATTAAGAATACTAATGAAAGAAAATCCACTTCATAAGAATAATACAGCAAAAGTATCTGTGAATATAATCAACCATACCTAAAGGAGGAGGCATGTTTAGAGGCCTTATGTTAGCAGCAGATCTATTGTTAATTTCACAATTAGAATTCACTGATCTCCCATCTCTATTATTAGAAGCACAATGTGCATTACTATTACTATTTACTTCATTCCAGGTGGCAGCTACTTGTGGATTTCTAGAAGAAATAAAACAGTCTGAAGTTATTTAAAGTACAAAAAGAATATATATCAAAGTTTTAGAACTGCTGATAAATAATTTCAAACTAAGAACATCACTGGCTATTCCATTTAAATTCAAACTATGAATAATTAGCTCTTGCTTTTCATTAATGTCTGCATATGTGCTATTTGGAAATTTAAAAAGAAAAACATCTGAAAAATCAAATTACTCCTAAAATAAAGAGGCATAAATATGCTAAGTTAGATACTTCTTATGATTTATTTGAATTTGATCTAACAAACAACAAATTTACTAACCTACTGCATTCAATACTTTCCTATTTGTTTTTCTTTATAGGGCAGTACTATAAAGGAAATACTCTGACCAAAATAATAGACTTACAAGAGAAAAGAGAAAAGCTTAAAGACAAGGCAAATAGTGAGCACTCTGAAGTATTTTTTTTCCACATTAAAAGTATTAGGTTAGAATAAATATTTTGGAAAAACATGAAAAAAATTTTTACCGAATGTTAGTAACAGGTTCACAATTTTCACGCTCAGAATCATATTCTGACTCTTCAGTTTCTTCATCTTTTGTGTTTTCATTTACAGCATCTGTCATCATATCTGATGTTTGTTCATAATAATGAACTAATTCTCTCAGCTCATTCAATCTCTTTCGAACTTCATTTAACTTCCTGATAAATAAAAAATGTATATTTACACCCATTTTAGCACAATAAAGCATACATTATTTTCATAAAAAATAAACAAAATTTAGACCTAGTCAAATATCCAGGGGTTCTGACTATAAAGTACTGAGTTTAACGTCAAGCTTGGCTTACTAAAAATCTCACCACATTATTTTCTTATGTTGTGTTAGGGACAAAAGCATAAGAAAACTAATTTTGGCAGAAAAATCAACGTCAAAAATCTTTCTATAGAATCTGAGGGTATTTTGTAAAAAAAAAAAAATAAAAATAAAAATAAAAATCTTTCCAGGTTTCTTAAGTATCAAAAGAGTGAAGTATTACTCTATTTAAATACTACCTCTCAGGCAAAACAGGTATGCAGACATTAAGCATTTACAGAAGGTTCCCAATTTGTCTACACATATGAGATCTGTACAGTATAAAAAATGTTTAATAAAAATAACAATTAAATTTGTTTAGTTCTTCCTAAGTTCCAGGAACTATGCCAGTTTTTTAATTCTTCAAACACATTTATATGCAAGTGCACTATTATCCCTATTTTGCAGATGAGGAAACAGAGGCTTAGTAAGGGTAAGTTATTTGTCCATGGTGACACAGAGTAAGATACAATTTCAGGGCTGTCTGACTCTAGAGCCAGGTCTCTAAACCATTTAAATATAGAGGTATTTTTAACTGTAGTCCTACTTCTGTTCCTTTATTTTAAAAGAAAGTACTATCAGTTCACAGAAATTGCCTGTTATGACATCATGTTTCTCTTAGACAACTCAAATAATACACACAGAACACACACCCCATTCATTTACCCTATCACTTAAGAATGTTTATCATGTTATATAAATATAATTTTGCCATAATTTTCAACACAATCAAAAAAAACCCCAGTATTTATCCCTATTATTAATTCTAATCTGTGTAAACAATGACTGTAAGAAAATGTTTTACTGGAGTTTTTCAGTTGAATTTAGGTGGCCTTCATTTTCATTCTCATTCTGAGAGACTAGAGAAGCAGCAGGATAAGGAACAGATGACATGAGGCTATTGGACTCTCCATTGACAACAGGTGCCAAGCCTACAGGAGCAGAGGGTGAAGTTGTACTTCTCTGATCCACACTCCTTTGTGGAGAGGCTGAAGAAGGCACAACTGCAAAAAAGAAAAACTTATCGGTTACCATAAACAAACAAACATGGCATCAAGCAAGATTTATTGTTTGCTCAAATATAGAAAAATAAAAGGTAAAAACCATTAACATCTTAATTTCTGCAGATTTAAATTTTAGAAACATATGGATAAATCCAGGCCACTTGTTTATTAGCATATTCCACAACTAAACACATCAGAATGCACACAGAAGACACATTTTTATTTCTTTCTTCCAGAGTCTCTATCATTTTTACATTATAGTCACTGTGTTAAAACTAAAAGAAAAGAAAAAGACAAGATGGAAATTGACAAGAATCATGAAATTCTACCTTGGAAAAGTAACTAGAGCAGTACTCTGATAATCTGGTTCTACGTTAAGCAGGGCCACTATGTCTAATTGTGTAAGATTCAATCTCTTATTTTTATAGGATAGCCATAGGTGATAGGTCTTTATGAGGTTTTCAAACTTACAGCCCAGAGGAATTACATCTGGCCACCAAGAAGGAAGTTTTCCTACTTCAGGAGACAAAGCAAAAGTGTTAAAGTGACTGTGATATACCAATACCATGAACTACTAAACAGCTATCATTTTCTAATTAGATGATGGCAAATCCTCTATAGGGCTTCATCTAAATCTTAATTACTTTTCTATTTAATTTCTTTTACTATCAGACAAAGATATCTTATGCCTTCATGGGCAATTAATGAAGATTAAGAATCTTTGCACTGCTCTACCTCCTACCACTTCAAAGCTACTGTCATCTGTCAGTAACTTTCTCACAGGGACCCCCATTATTTGTTGTTCACTTTAATGCCACAATTCCTGTAACTGATTTCCAGTAGTCTCTTCACTATATTCCCTGACCATTCTACCTTTTGCTGCTGCTCTAACACTGTTTCCCAGTGGGGAAAAAATGACATCTACAAGTCATCAGTAGGCAGAGTGTTACTTTCTTCATGTGTACAAAACTGACCACAAAGCCTGAAGCACAACTTTTGAATTTTAAGTTTTTCTTAGTTGTGTTCATCTGTTTGTAGAGGATAAGGACGGGGATTATGCTCTAGAGAAGGAGACTAGCAGAAGTCAGGGAAATGAAAGGAATATAAGAAAGGATTATGGGGCAGGAATAGTAAAGTTCTTTTAGGGGTGGCAGACAAACAGATGTGTGGAGAGTTAAGAAACGGATTTCCGAGCTGATGTGCTTACACCTTGTCTTTTCTTCAATAATAGAGCAATTAGAATGTTGAAGAATAACAACCAGTTAGAGTTGCCCCTACTGACTCCCAATTTCCAATGCTTGAGCCCTATTACTATTTGGATAAGTGATGGGACCAGGCTTGACAAGGTATTAAGATAACAACTAAAGACTAGTAACTAGGTCTGACTTAGAGAGAACAAGTAAAATATCTGTAGAGCAGAAAAGATAATTTCTATAGTCACAGGTGCCTAAGATGATTATTTACATATTTTTAAAAAATGAATACAAGCCCAGTGAGTTTTAAGTTGTGGACTTTCTGCACTAAACTATGTGTACTAAGCTTTTCATATGTCATTATTTTTTTCTGTATAAACACTCTCTATAGCACCTTGGGAGGCCAAGGCAGGTGGATTGCTCAAGGTCAGGAGTTCGAAACCAGCCTGATCAAAAGCGAGAACCCGTCTCTACTAAAAATAGGAAGAAATTAATTGGCCAACTAAAAATATAGAGAAAAAATTAGCTGGGCATGGTGGTGCATGCCTGTAGTCCTAGCTACTTGGGAGGCTGAGGCAGGAGGATCATTTGAGCCTAGGAATTGGAGGTTGCTGTGAGCTAGGCTGATGCCATGGCAACAGAGTGAGGCTCTGTTTCAAAACAAACAAACAAAAAAACACACTCTCTAAATCTATGTTTCAGTTTCAGGGCTTTTAAATCAAAGTACTAAATGTATTAGTTTCTCCTTAAAGGAACATTTTGAATATGCTAAAAAATACAGTATTATTATCTCCAAGTATCAAATAGTTACCTCCTCTTCTACATTTCCCTTATTAAAATCCTACCAATTTTTCAAGGCCCAACTTTATTCTTTCCATTTTCTGAATTATAAAACAGATTTATGTCTATTTGACTTTTATTGTATATTAGCTTGATACTTAAAAATTTTTCACATCCAAGGCTCATCTCCCCACAAATATCGTAATTTTCTTGAGGAACCATATATTCATTCATTCATCCATCAAATATTTACTAAACCGTTATGTGACAGCACATATCCTTCTTTTTTCCTCTACTTAATACTGCTGAACCAGATTTACTTACATGATGAATTATTTAGATGCTGATCTCGAAGCGTATGAAGTTCTCCAAGCAATTTATCCATTTTTTGCTTCTTTTCCTGTAAGACTCTCATTTTGCTAAAAAGTTGGACTTTCTCATCAGGTAAATGTTCTGAAACCGATGGATTCCTGCTCTGGGAAACTTCTCTAGTTAATGAAAGACTTTCTGCCTGTCTTCTATTGTCTGGAACAGCTGGAGGCTTATTTAAAAAAACAAGAAGAAAAGTTAAGACTAAGGCAATTATAGATTGCATTCTCATTTTTAAAATGCATAAGTATTCTTTATAAAAAGAGAAATTTTTGCCTAGGTTATGCAGGTGAGTATAAGTATATGCTCCTATTCTCAAATTAAATATTATTTCCTGGTGTGCCACTATAACATATACATATAGTCATCCCTTAGTATTCATGGGGGATTGGTTCTAGGACCCCTGGGACACGTAAATCAGCACATGTGCAAGTCCCTCATATAAAATAGCATAGTATTTGCATATAATCTACACACACTCTCCCATATACTTTAAATCATCTCTAGATTACTTATAATACCTAATGCTAAATAGTTGTTATACTGTATTATTTTTTTTAAATTTACATTTTACATTGTTATATTGCTATTTTTATTGTTTTTTTCCCTACAAAAATACTTTTGATCTTCAGTTGATTAAATCTACAGATTTGGAACCCACAGACATAGAAGGCTGACTATATGTGGTTTTACATATACATATAATCAAACAGTGGTCTTGGAGTCACTGGATATCATTAACTGGATATAAATTAAGTGATAGCAACATCATATGTTATATAGAAAAAAACCTTCAAAGATCTCGTTTTCTCTTTGCATCTTTTTAGAACTACCACTATAAACTTTTTCTTTTTTTCTTTTTTTTGAGACAGAGTCTTGATTTGTTGCCCAGGCTAGAGTGACTGCCGTGGCATCAGCCTAGCTCACAGCAACCTCAAACTCCTGGGCTCAAGCGATCCTCTTACCTCAGACTCCCGAGTAATTGGGACTACAGGCATGCGCCACCATGCCCGGCTAATTTTTTCTCTACATCTATTAGTTGGCCAATTAGTTTCTTTCTATTTTTATAGTAGAGATGGGGTCTCGCTCTTGCTCAGGCTGGTTCTGAACTCCTGACCTCGAGCAATCTGCTAGGCTCGGCCTCCCACAGTGCTAGGATTACAAGTGTGAGCCACCGCACCTGGCCTAACATACTTTTAAATATAAGGTAAGTGGTATCCTTTTTAAACTTGCATTTTTCATTCATTAGCTCTGGTTCATTTACCGTAACTACTATACAGAATTTCACTCTATGTATATAATTCATTAATCCATGTTCCTATTTATGGACATTTAGGGTGTTTCTGGTTTTTTGCTATTAACACAATGCTACCATGAACATTCTTATATTTACCTCCTTGTGAACATGTAAGGGTTTCTCTACAATAGGCCATGGTAGAATCACCAGAAAAAATTTACTAGACATTGTTAAATAACTCCGCCCAAATGATTGGACCATATTCTTTTATTTTCACTTGGTCAGCAAGAAGACAGGAGACGCTTCATTTCCAATCATACTCATTTTTAGTGGAGAGGTATTAATTCACCCTTTCTTATCCAGGGCCCATATATTGAAAATTTGCATTTATATTATTATATATAAATTTCATGAGATTTTAACACTTATAACTCTCAAATCACACTTAAGAACTTTCTTAAAATTATTAGTAAACTATTGTAAGGATATAGATTTAACCCTAAGTCTTAAAGGTTGTGAATAACAGTCTTTTAGAGGAAAAAAAATGCCATCTAGTAACTTACAAAAGGAAAACTTCACTAATCACTTCATTCAAAGTAGATTTTTCTGTTTCTCAAATATAGTCCCCAGAGCACCAACATTGAAATCACATGGGGAGAAGCCCACCCCAAATCTATGGAGGTAGGGGGACTCTACTGACCAGAAACCTACATTGCTTAGCAATCATGCCAGGTGATATTTATACTAAAGTATAAGTTTGAGAACCACTGTTCTAATTAATGTGATTTTAAACTGAAGTATACTGAAACAATTAAGTTACCTGAGAATCACGAAGCTGATTATGAAAACGTTGAATTAAATCATTCAATTCTTCATTTAGTTCTGATGTGATACTAACTCCAGATAAGCTACCTGTAGTTTCTGCAACAACTGGAGAGAAAATTAACAACTATTCATTAATATAAATCAGTCAAACAGTGACTCAATGGAATGGGGTTAGGGCAAGTCTACCAGTCTGTTTGTGTTGAGGGAGTAAGTGGGAAAGTGGTAGTCAGGAAAAGCACAGCTGATTCTCACAGGTCTCAACTTCCATATCCTATAATGGAATCAATGCTCTCGGTACAGAGGCTCACAAACTTTTCTTAAAGGTTCAGATAGTAAACATTATTAGGCTATGTAGAAAATACAGTTTTTGTCTTAACCATTCAACTCTGCCACTGTGGGGCAAAAGCAACCACAGATTTGTAAATAAATGGGCATGGCTATGTTCCAGAAAACTTTATTTCAGGCAGTGGGCCAAATTCAGCTGCCATAATTTGCTGACCCCAGCACAGGAACAGATAATTTATTCAAGTGGCTGCTTGTAATACAAGTCATACTAAAAGGCTGTGGTTTAGCTTCTTAGTTAAAAAAAAAAAATGCCCTCATATTCCTAAAGCAGCTTTCTGATGACAATTTTCATAAGTTATTATTCTACTACCCAACCACCTCATCCTTATTCTTACTTCTAACTCTGCAGATCTAAAAGAGACACTGGTTATAAATTGCTTCTATTTTAAAGGAAAATACTTGCTTTTTCCATCAAAAAATTAAAATTTCAAGGTTAGATGGAATCCCATGTAGCTAGTCCAAATTCTATGTTGAAAAGAACGAAATTACAGTTCAGATAACAAATGCACAACTTCCTAGGTAAATGGTGATAGAAGCGTTCTTTCCCAAGATTGTGATGTTACCTCCCTTATACACCAGAAGATTAAATATTAATACTGTACTTGTGGTTTTTCATCAGGATTTCCCTGTAAAATCTAATATAAGAGCAAATGTTTTAAAATTACTAAAATGAAATTCTTTTTGAAGTAGTATATGAAATAAATCAAACTCTTATTCAGTCTACTCCTGTTCTGACTCATAAGTTTTTAAAAAAGAAATTATCTGCTTACTTTTAATAGTTCATATACAGAAACAGAAAGAAGACCCTTGACCTAGAATCAAGAGATTTGATTCTACTAAAATTCTGTATAAACCCAGGCAAGTCAAAAACTGTGTTAGAGTTTCTTCTCTACAAAACCAAAGTAAGAATAAAAGCTCTGACCACTAACCTACTACAATTCTGTGATGATCGAAGATGATGCAAATGTAAATATTAAGTATCTGAGATTAATATGATTATCAAAGGAATCTTTGAAATCTGATACTCCAATTTTGGAAAACATTTAAAAGGTTAACCAAACTAGTATTAGTCATTATGTTAAAATATTTTAATTATCTATTTCTTAAATATAAAAGCTAACAGTACTTTAAATTTTACAAAGAAAAATGGAGACAAAAATCTTCGTAATTATTACTACATACTACACTATATAACACTAATTATTAAAGAGTAAGTTACTTGAAAGTCTTAAAGTTCCTTATGAAAATGCAAATGTAAATTAGATACAAGAATGATCAGACAACTGAGCCAGAGGGTTAAGTTTGCACAGCAGGACAAACTGATTAATAATCTCAGTGAGGGCAGCCTCAGTGAGGACCCAAACTCACTGGCAAACATAAAATGATCAAAGAAGATAAATTATTATTAGAATGCAATGGTGGGATAACTACTAGAAAACAACTTATTTTTACTGAGCCCTAATAAGTTACAATCTTATTTTCACTTTAATGAGAAATTAAAACTCTTAGGTTTGAGAGTGATGAGACAAACTTACAAAATCAGACTTAATACTAAAGAATTCAATACAATTTTCACCTAAATCATACATGGCTATGAAAGGAAGGAAGAAGAAAGAGAAGAACATTTCCAAGTCTCAGGAAGGCTGTATTTTATCTCCTTAATTTAAAAAAAAAAAACCCTCATATTCCTAAGGCAGTATCAGAGGTCTGTCCAGAAGATACCCAGCCATGTAATATGAAAAATAGAGGCATCTACTGAAGAAGATACAAGATACAGGAAACATTGTAAAAGGACAATGACACCTCAGTCCTCTCAAAGTAGGCACCTTGAGACCTCACACGATTCTCCCAACATCTCTTAACCTAACCCATACACATTCAACATTCTCAGGTGTTCTGCTTTTTGCAGGTCTTCCAGAACGTGGATCACTTTCAACAGATTCTCGACCATCTTTGAAGTGTTTGTGCCACACTTTTATTTGTGCTACATTCATTGCATGGTCCCCAAAAGCCTTCTGAATCATCCAAATAGTTTCCACTGAGGACTGTTCAAAGTTAACATAAAATGTGATGCAGATTCGTTGCTCTACTCACTCAGTCATTGTGAATGCAACAGCCACACAGTACATATGCTTACTCAACAGCATCTAGCGCCCCACTGACTAGTACAATGAAGTCATCATTTGTTCACGCACGCGCATCACAGTCCACTCACCTCAGCTACCAGGTTACAAGTATGTCACACAATATTCTCGTTATATTAACAATGGCTGGATGCTTTCCAGACAGACCTCATAAATATAGTTTAAAGGAGCTAGCATATACAATTGGATATGTAATTGAAATAAAAGCTACTACTAACTTTGAACACTAAACATGCTCTATAAATTTATTCACTGCCTTACTTAAGGTTTTAACTCTTCCCTGGGAGACAAGCAAAGAACAATCCTACAAAAATAAAATACAAAAAATGGAAATAAAAGCATCAAGAGCCCTATCAGTCTGAGGTACAAAAACAGAACTACAGCCTGTCTCTTTTACCTCTTAAGGGTACTCTCTGATGAAAAGGAGAGCGAGCTGGCTGTCTGCACCGTACAGTATGATGGCCAGGAGTTGTCCCTGCAACCTTTTCTGCATAACCAGAAAAAAGCACAGGACAGGGTAAGCCTCACATGTAGGTTTCTAAACTAGTCAACAATCAATATCTGACTATATAACAACCAGCATCCACCTTGCAATATAATTATCTATTGAGCCCTGCTTATAAAAACAACATTCTAAGACTGTGGCATACCAGAATCATCCATCACAGCAATAGCTTGCTCTGCTTTATGCTGCAAAGCTAGAAGAGCAGCTTGTCGTCCCTGCAGAGCTCTCAGTTGCTCCTGCTGTTGTAACATCCTTTTTAACAAATCATGTTGTTTCTTCAAATTTTCTATCTCTTCCATAGGTTCTTGCTGAGGATCTCTGGCCTGTAAAATAAAACCAACAATACTTATATCTATTAATTTTAAAATCCATGTTGCTGTCTCAATTATCAATGGTAAAGTACATGTATAGATAATAAATTAGTATTAAATAATACAACCCTAGATATATTCTTAGTAGACTTGAAGAAAAAAGAGTTAGAATAGAATGATGACACAGAGACAGCCTGCCATATTAAGAGTTAGGTAATTTCACAGTAAAAGACTATAAGCAAGGGCTTAGCAAGAAGAGGAATTATTAACAAAAGAAAAGAAAAATGCATACAAAAGTCAAGACAGGAATACCAAGAGGGCAAAAGGAGTTACACACACACACATACATACACACCACACAACGAGGGATCCAGGCCCTACAGAAATGTAGGAGCATGTTATGCTGGGTTGATACCCTGAAAGTCTCTTTAAAAACAGATCAGACTGGCTGGGCGCAGTGGCTCACGCCTGTAATCCTAGCACTCTGGGAGGCTGAGGCGGGCAGATTGCTCGAGGTCAGGAGTTCGAGACCAGCCTGAGCGAGACCCCGTCTCTATTATAAATAGAAAGAAATTAATTGGCCAACTAATATATATAGAAAAAATTAGCCAGGCATGGTGGTGCATGCCTGTAGTCCCAGCTACTCAGGAGGCTGAGGCAGCAGGATTGCTTGAGTCCAGGAATTTGAGGTTGCTGTGAGCTAGGCTGACACCATGGCACTCACTCTAGCCTGGGCAACAAAGCGAGACTCTGTCTCAAAAAAAAAAAAAAAAACCAAAACAGATCAGACTAAGAATCTTTCTTTGCTACTCCTTGAAATGATTTTTAAACATCGCAAACAACAAAACCCAGAAAACAAGCAAACTTACTAATTTCTAATAAAAAACAGAAATTTTAAAAATATTTTTATTTGATAATCTTATGAAAAATGTTTTAATTGCATCACATCAGGCACATAATAAAACAGAAAATTTTATATTCTGTATTGAAGGCATCATTACTTTTTTTTTCTCTTAAATTATGCCCATTCATCTGAGTCCAACAACATAAAATAGAAGTAAATACTTTCAAATTCCCCCAAAATGCTGGGAGGTTATCACCTTGTTTAAAAGTAGAAAGATTAAACAGGTGCCAATTATAAGAAATAATCAAATTTTAAATGTAATCTTAAAACTATTCAAAATGTAACCCAATAAGAAAAAAAAAAAAAAAAAACCTAAAGCAAAGAGACAAATTTAAATACAACCTGGAAACAATACATATAAGCCAAATTATGCATCAAATGTATACCATAATGGTATTTTTAATCATTGATTTACCTTTAAAAAATCTTTTATTTGAAAATTTCAATGATTTTACATAAAATATTCCACCTTTGTTACATGTAGTCAATTTTAACTCTGCATTGCTAACAAATTTTTGTTGGAGTTATATACATTTTAAATAAATGATTCCTGCCCATCTCTCTCTGCCCCAAGTTACTAAGGAGAGCAAAATAGGTCAAGGATTTCTTTTGAAAGTAAAAATGCACTGATCTATATTCCCTATTCACATTTGATTTCTAGAAAAATTAGGGAGAATACAAATGGTTCAAAAGAAATACCCTTCTGGGTGATATCTCTTACCAATACTACACAAAAATCTCTTATATTTACCTCCCACGTAGAACTCATCAGTATTGTGAATACGCATGAGTAACTGTGATAACATTTTATACTGTGACTTGGAAACTTGGAAATAAATAAAATTAGTAAGTGAATAAGCGCATGGCACAAACTTAACAACTCAAAGATCAAACAGGAAGTAGACTATGATTGCATTATATAATATAAACATCAGAGGAATCTGCTCAGTACTATATCTATCCTGGACTATCTCTAGACTTTATAAACATGGGAGAGAAATATCTACCTAGATTTTGGTTAAGCCAATATTTATTACAGGTTTTTCAATCGTCTTGAATTTCTAATAAATGAAAAAGCCCTTTTCAAATCAATTACTGTTTAATCAGTTCTCTCCCAACCTAAACAAGTAGAGTTACCTGGTTAAGACTTATATTAACTCCTGTCAAAATTCACCTTCTTAGTTCTGTCTTATGACTGCTTACATCTTAGAAAAAAAATGTTTTTGAAATAGTAGAGATAACCATCAATAGCTAGTTCTCTCGATTCATCCAAAAAATTTCATAATAATTTCATCAAAGTCATTGGTAAAACATAAAACCAAACTAGAATGGCTCAGAGAAATCTTTCCAGGTTGATATCAATCAAATATTCCTCTGGCAAAGTATAAATGATAATTAGGAGAAAAAATAATATACAAATTTTAAAAAGTGGGGAAAAAACCCTAAAGAATGTGTATTTCCACCTAATTTATGGTCTTCTCACCTCCCCAAAATAGTTAGACTTCAGGGTTACTTTAAAACAATCTTATTTTAAAGAGTTTATTAAAACGATTTATAATAGTATATAGTTTTACTTTTTAAAAAGCAAACTTTTAAAAAACTTCTTCAATACCTATTAGCTAAATTTATTTGCAAAATTGTAATGCCTTAATTGTAAAGAATTCTAAACTTTTTATTAAAATAAACACAATTACCTTCAGATTTTTCACTAATCCAAAAGTGAATTCCTAACAACTTTTGAAAATAGTGGAGTACTACTACTGCTTAATAATTTTTGCATACATATAAATAAAATTTCAGACTGAAACTTAGAAAAGCTGAGCCAATGGAAGGGGATGGGGACTATTATCAAATATAAGGAACAAGAAGATAAGAAAATAGAAATATAAATATCTAGGAATAAGAACAAGAAGATAGTACTTAGAATGGAAATCTAAAAAGGATACTAGGCATATAGCCATCCTTCAAACATTCATTTTTATTTAAACTTATTTTGAGTCGCCTTCACCAACTACATTTTTAGTTTACAGATAAAAAAATAACTTAGGCATGAAATCTTGAATTGCACATATGTAACAGTCCATTTTCAGAAAATCCAAAATTTTCCTTTTATCTACTCCTGAGGTATCCCTAATAATTATTCATGAATCCAAATATATTTTTACAGCTTCTGACACAGTTATGTACTCCAATTTTTTCATGTGGAAGGTGAGGAACTTATAAGCCCAGAGAAGATAGAGCTATGATTTATCCAGTGTCACAGTTAGGAGAAGTCAGGTTCCTAGGCTCTGGTTCAATGTTCTTTACATCATACTGTCTGTCCCAAAATTATGTGCTTGGGTTCTAAACACAGAGGTATAAGAAACAATCTCTAAAGAAGCATAGCTGGTTTGGGTGACAAGTCTAGCTCACGTGAAATAACTAGAAATGATGAAAATAATAGCAAAACAAGGGTACATCGTATAAAGAAAGTTTCTAAGTTCTCTAAGAGCCAAGATGGGGTGTGGGCGATTAGTGTGGGCCAACAAGTGTGGGCATGGATACTTGTCAAAGGCTTCTTTTGTAAAATTATGGGAAGTGTCATCATGTCTATAAAATATTCCATAAAATGGAATCTACCCTTGGAGGTAGCTCTAGAACATCAATCATTTCATATCACAGGCTGCTTTCAACTCTGAATCTCATGTTAAGACCTTAACTTTTTTTTTTAAATTATTGTAACAAACTACTACATTTTGAAAGGATTCCAAGGAGGGAATGAGGATGAGGTAGTAAGAATAACAGATCCTGCAAAGCAGAGAAAAAATAAAGTTAGGTAGTAGGAATTAAGATTTTTTTGTAAGAAATTAAAATCACTTTACGAATAGAGTACTAAAAGAACTACACTAGGATGGCCTTAAGAATCAAGATTAAAGAAAGTCAAATTGGAATAAAATCCAAGATACAAGCTGAAGAAAGTATGATCTTCGCTTACAAGGACATTATTCAAAGAAACTTAAAAACAGAAAAGTGGTTTTTAAAAGTAAATATAATGTGTTAGGTGAAAAAAGAACAGGCAGATACTATGCTGTAACAACTGTCAACTCCTGTATTTTGTCTGTCACTGTTCAGAAGGATCAGGAGAGGAACAAAATTCCAAAGACATCACCAGGATTCACGTTCATTGGCTCTTCTCTAATACTACTAGTTTTTAAAGCAATCGGCTATTTTATTTACTTTTCTGTTGAACTGGGGCACCTTTTGCTAAGCATTTTATGTAATAAGATCCCCATAACTAACTTCAAACTTTGTCCTCAAACTCCTGTGGGAGCCAGAAAAAATAAACCAAAAAAACAAACTGTCAAAAAACCTAGAAGTTTTGCCATTCTTAAACAGCCACACACACACACACACACACACACACACACACACACACACACACAATCCCACATAAAATAGCTACAAAACGGAAAAGAAAGATTAGTCTGGTAATAAACTAGTAATAAAAAATACACAAGTGGTCTTGTCTATGGTTAATTATTAAAATAATACTTTGCTCTTGCCAAAAGGAGATGAGCACTTTTATAAAGGCTACTTGTATTCAAACTGTTTTAAGTGGAACTACAAATAGTTGTCTTTAAACCTATCTTGAATTCCTTTATACAAACCATGAAAAATTAAAAGGATATTTAAAACAGACATTAGAGAAAAACTAGTAAAAACATTAGCAAACAAGCCAACTGGATAAATATATTTAAAAAAAAAAAGAATGAAAGGAGTTTCCAACAACAAAAACATAAACAAAACAAAACAACAACAAAAAATATATACACACATACATATAAGCATTTCATTCTTACAAAGACAGGAAAGCTAATAGCTTGCTCTATTTTTTCTTTAATGGATGACCACATGAAATAAGACAAAAATTAAAGCACTATCTTAATTCATAAACACAAATATCAGAAACAAAAGGCAAGTGATGTGGAGGCTTAAGAATGTGTTATATTTTGAGCCCTCAACTGCAAAGAAAAGAAAACAAATAACATTTTGAAACCTTTGTTAATGTAAATTTAAAACAGCTATCAGATTAATCCATGGAGACATATATAAAAAAGAAGAACTAAGAAACAATAACACTAACGGACAGCATTTTACTAAAGCAAATTACAGTATGATAATTAACCATATTAATAATTTATATATGTAAGAGTAACAGCAATAAGAGAAAAGTAAATAAGGAAGAGGAAATATGAACAAGAGGTGCTCATTTAGACTTCCCAAGTTAATATTATGAGTATACCTTTGAGGGAAATCCACGTTTTCGGCTATATTTCCTATTAGGCCTCAGTTCCCTGTCATTCTGAGGAGGTCTGTCACCTTTCCCTTTTGGACTTGTAGTAACGTCAATGTCTGAAACCTGTTCTTGTGAAGCTGAATTCCCTAGTTTGTCCTCAATGCACGGCCGAATTCTCAGACTAAAAGATGCCTCCTTTATTAAATAGTGTAGCATATTAATTTCTTAACACAAACTCCTGTTTAACATATAAGCCAGCCTTGTAAATAAATACAAAAAATTTACCAGTCCATCTTTTAAAAAAAAAATCCACCACCACCCCCAATTAAGTTTAACTTAATCAGACTTTTAAGTTTCTACAGACTAGACTGTTGCTTAGTGTAATTAAACAAGTATCATATCACATAGGCAATTTCCAAGCTATACAACAATTGCCAAAGCATATTTTAACATTTATTCTGCTACGTTATTAATCAACTTTCATGATTTTATATTACGATTTCATGTTGAAAGGAAATTTCATTATGAATGAAATTCTCATCATAGTGAATAGTTTCAATGTCAGTATATAAATTATAATAATGAACTATACAATTTCCCGCCCCTCCCTCAACAGAATTCATTTACCCACATTGCCCCAACCCTTCCATTTCTGCTGGAATATAAGGAAAAAATTATTCCCAGCACCACTGTAATTAGAAAACAATTTCCCCATAGTAGAATCCATTCTTCAACAACTGTTGGGATCAGACCCTCTGAGTGTCTCCTGGTAAAAATAATGTAGAGAAAGAAAATTCAGATTTCCTCTTCAAATTGAGAAGGGCAAGGAAGAGAAAGGAGGCAGATAAGAAACTATACAGACCAATACTAAAAGGAAACAAACCCTCAAATTCCTGATGCTGAATGGTATTCTGGAACATACCACAAAAGTAAAAGATATACAAGGTTATCCTCTCAAAAGAAAAGCTTTACTAGTCTGTCATAGGTTTTAACCCTTTACACTCGCTTGCTTTTTTCTCCCTTCCTTTATTCTACTTGGAATTTAATTTTTTAAATACCCCAGATTTTACAAAGTGCAGCAGTAGAATAAAAAACTGGAGTTTCTACCCCCATAATATGCCGAAATAAAAAAAAAACAAAAAAAAAACTGGAGTTTCTTTTCATACAAACTTATTTGGATTTTTTTATATTTCAAATTATTGATACATTCAAAGAGTAATTTTAATCTCTATAATTTTTGCTAACCATGTCGAGTCACACTTGACATCCGAGTGCAAAGGGTTAAAAGTTTACAAATGCATGGTTATATATAAGCCCATCTATTAGAAATGCTTAAAAGCATACTAATTTAGAAGCATACTAAGAACTAAGTTTATTTTATAAATCTTTCCTCAAAGTTTTATAAATTCCTAATTATTTTTCCTAAAAACAATTTTAATAAATTTGATTTTGCACAGTCAGAAATTATAGTATTATTCTGTGAATAAATCACAATGTAAATGCTATCCTTTTCCCATTTACTAGCCTTTAACTCATTTTTTCAGTCATCTAATTTTGCTACTCTACTAGACTAGAAACAGAAATGAAAAATCCTAATATCCTTAAGGAGCCCTCAGTGGCAAATGAACTTGGGAGATTTTTCCAATAGGCCATACGCTAAATAATCACTAATGATATCTACAGCCCTTATATTCACAATGAATTTTAACTTTCCCAAAGCTTTTTAAAGTTAGCAAAGTTGTGCTTAACAAACCAAACAAGAAAAACATTGTTTCTGTAAGTTGGTGGTCAAAAATTACTGGATTTTCAAATCAACCACTAAAACTATTTTTAATGTTAATAAATAAAACTTGTAAATGTGATTAAACACAGAAGACTATATACAGCATTAACAATTTGAAGGTTTCTTCCCTGGAATACATTTTTCATTAAGGAACACCTAAAAAATACCATCTTGAAAATTGGGGGAAAAGTTTAAATCTTCATTTCCAGCACATTAATTACCAAAAAGCCGCTTACCGTGGTATCTGAAGCCTCAGACTGCACATCTATGTTTAGCGATGTGCTCTCAGCTACAGAACCAGATCCCACAGCTGAATCTATAGTCCGAACATCCTCCTCCTCATTTTCTCTAGCCTGAAATATTTTAGTGGTATAAATCATACAACTATTAAAAAGGGCAATAAAATGTTATAATGGATGGCATGATTTTTTGAAAATATGTTAACTCCTCTGGGATGGCATCAGAAGTCATCAGTATATATACACACATATACCACAAAAATAACTCAATACATTATTTAAAAAGTCTAAAACTTACTAAAATTTTTTGGAGAAATTTCATATATGACTTTTCTTGTTCTTTAAGGTGATCTATTAGATGAGTAAGGCGCTCAACGTTAGCAGATCTTTCATTTTTCTCCACAAGATCTTCTCGCATGGAACTAGCTTTAGTAATATAATCACGAATTTGAACAAGCCTGCTTACAATCTGCAGGGGAAATATTAAAAAGAAAAATAAGCATGAAAATACACAACATATAAAACTGAGTATAATTAGTTCAACACCAACAGTTCTATAAATTTTTATTTCAAAGATAATAACCAAAAATATTTCTAGGTTTATTGTGTGAATTTATACATGTAAAAAATCTGAATCAAACTTAGATTTTAAACAAAACATAAATGATAACACTGAAAACTTCAATCACTGTCAATTTAAAAATAAATTTCAAAATTATTTTAATCTATATTAGCTGTACAAACTGCACACCAAACTATTCTTCCTATAAATTTTCCTTCTAATGTTTATATATTTCTTTATTAATAAATTATTTACTTATATATACTTTTGAAAGTACTTTTCAAAAGAATTATATTGCCATTTTAAAAAATTCTTACAAAAAAATCCATTAATCACTTTGCTCCCAATCCCCTTTATACAAATTGGGAATACAGTTTTTGGCAAATAAAAAGAAGCCTTAATTGGCCTGAATATACCATGTCTACAATCATTTGGGATTAAAAAAAAATTACTCCATTTTAAATAAATCTGGTAGATTAAAGAGCGGAGTAAGGGAAATACTTTAATTCGATCTAACTAAAATTCCTATATGTATAACCTAATTTTTAAAATCATAATGTTTGTACTTTGAGGTTTGTGAAAACAATGAGTGAAAGAAACAAATTTTATCACCTGACTGCTCTCCATTGCAGGTTCTCCTCTCCCATCCTCTTCAGACACTTGACAGTTTTGCAAAAGGTCATTACTTAGAGCAGAAGCAAACAACTCTTTACATTGTGCTGATCCAACCGCTTCTCTCTTTTGAGGGCTAACAGCTGCATCTTTGCTCTTGTTAGTATTAATCTGCATAGGCAAAAAGTTGAAGGGCTTTCTGTTTTCACTAAGCTGACGTTTGTTGTTAGCAGCTGTTGCTCTACCTTGAGAATCACTTCCAATGCTTCTCTATATATGAAAAAGAAATCGAATCACACAAACATTAATCTTACAACATAGTTTTTAAAAAAGTCCAATGTTCTTAGTTTCACTATCAGATATTGATTTAGGAGGTACATAAAAACAGCTTTGTAGTAACATGTGAAAGAGCTTCAGATCTACAAAGTTGTGTTATTAAGATATCAAAATTTGATTAGCATCTCCTGTTCCTCATTTTGTTGACACAATTCAACTGATAAATATGAACAAGATTAGTCTAAACAAAGTACAGACTGAGTATATCTCTTCAGAAATGCCTGGGACCAGAAGTGTTATAGATTTCAAATTTTTTCAGATTTTGGAATATTAGCAAATCCACAATGAGATATCTAGGGATGGAATCCAAGTCTAAACATGAAGTTCATTTGTTTCATCTATGCCTTATATACATAGCCTGAGGATAATTTTATACAATATTTTAAATAATTTTGTGCATGAATCAAAAATGACATTTTTACTACAACCCATCACATAAGGTCAGGTATCCACTTGTGGCATCATGTTGGCACTCCAAAAATGTTGGACTTTGAAGCATTTCAGATTTCTGATTTTCAAATTAGGGATACTCCACCTATACTTGGACTATGGACCACTTTTATCACTCATATTGCTATTTATTACTTGCTAAGAGAATTTTTATAGACTTTGGACCCAATGAATCAATTAACATGAACATTAGCATAAAGATTTGTCTATGGGAACACACTCTCTGAAAAAGTATTCAGCTCAGTGCCTGTCATACAATTAAAGTGCTCAATAATCAGTAAATAGATGTAAATGATACATGATTATCACCATTATGATATCAGACTTGAATCTACCTTTCTACATATTTGGAAAACTCTGTATCTCTGCAAAGTACAGATGTGATAGTAAAATATTTGTCAAGAGTTCATTATCAATTTTACTTGCTTTTAGATTTAAATGTCATTTCAGTGATTATAAATACAAAATATTTTATTATAGATTTGAGGTAATCCAGCACCATCCCACACTTAACCAATGGTAAATATAATAAACTGGATCTTTCCATTTACTTAATAGCAACTTGATTGAGCTACTAAAATGTAAAATTTAGTTTCATAATGAAATCACTTAAGTTGGTCATATAACATAGTAATAAAATCCAGAAATATTTTTCTTTAGCAAGTTTAGAAACAGGATTTCATTTCCTTCTAAATGACAAGGCATAGTATCATCATCACTGATTAAATTCTTTCCATATGCACAGAAACTAAAGAAAATAAACAGCTCAATTTTTATTCCTAAAACAAATTATTTAATCCATTTCAAGCATTTCTCATAGTCATAACTTGATTTTTAAAATAATTCACAAACCTGATCTAAATCACTGAAGTTTATCCGCTGTTTAAGTTTCTCTAATTCTGCCTGCTCTGGGACAGACATCTGAGTCATATATCTACTGTGTGGAAATGTATGTGGAGTCTTTGTTCTTCGCCTTCCAACTCCCGGTGATGACTCCGGAGAAATATCATTAGTTACCCTTTTATCACTTTCTACACCAAACTTTTTCTTATTCTTTTCTGATGATCTATTTGCTTTCTTCTGCTGGCCACTCCAATCCTTTAAAAAAGTAAAACGCACAAGTTAATCTGGTCTGTATCAAACCAGGAAAATAATTTGGTATGCTTAAAAAAATTTTGGTCCGTCTTATAATTAAAAATGACAAAACATTTTTCATATCAGAAATGCTTAGAAACAATTATTTACTTCTATTAACCCATTTTTCCCTCATTACATTTATCCTAATTTTATAGCCTATCCTTTAGAAATAGATTACTTTCCTATCACAGATCATAAATGAATGCAAATCCCCAAATCCCAATGCTAGAGTCAATTTGGATATTTTCAAAAGCGTATTTAAAAATTATTCTTTCCTCTTTAAAAATTGAATAGTGAAATAAATTATACATATCTTTACTGGCCAACCCTTAGATTTAACTCAGTATGTATAGTAAAAAGAATACAGATGTGGAATCAACCTGAGTTTTAAAGTGATTACGGTTTATTAAAGAAACACTCCATTGTGTGACCCTAGAAAATTTACTTAACTTCCCACAGTCTCAATTTCCTGATCTCTAAAATAGTGTCACCTTTAAAATGGGATTAAAACATACATAAAACATCTAGCCTAGCATTTAGTGCCTAGCATTTAGTAAGCATTAAATATAGCTATTATTATTTTATAGACAAAAATGTACATAATATCTAATCTAATATGGAATGACAAAGAGTACTTATTGTTTTAACTTGAAAACATTTTTATTGACTTAGTTATAGCCACATAATCTAATTCATTCAATGAAAAGGCCTATAATTCCCACCTTATCTATACTAGAAGAATCTTTTAGTTACTACAATAGTAAAGCCACTTGGGATATTTTCCTCATTTATAACAAAAATCCCTTCTCTAACAAACTGTCTCTCCACCCAATCCATGAGTGGGTGGCTCCTACCAACCTTTCATACTATTTAATCCACCCCATCCTGGCCATAGATTATTGGAAAAAGAAATGCATATATATAATCCAAATTGGGATAATCATACTTTAAAATTTAAAATTGGAATTAGGAGATAACCAGTCAGTATATAATAGCAGCCATAGCTGAAAACTTGAGAATGATGGTATGGCCATGTGGACCAGAAGAGGAGAAAAAGCTGGTCTGTGAAGAAAAAGTTGTGTTAGGCAGAGGCACTCAGAAGCAGAGTTAGGATAGTGAAAAAGTAATTCTTGACAACTCTCTAGTTCCTTTTTCCAGTCCCTTCCTAAAACCCAGCTGTATTCCTTTAATATGGTTTCCATAAAACACCTTTATACTCTTATAATAAATCTACTTTTTTGGTTTAAGCTAACTCAAGTTGATTTCTGTACCCTGCAACCAAAGTGTCTTCATCTAATAATAAATAGCCCAGTGTCCCTTAATATTTTGGCCAGCAAGTGTTTACAAAGAGTTTCAGTGAGTTAGATTTGGTCAGGGGAAAGTTGCATTTCAATACTAGTAGTCAGCAATATATCATTGATAGTAAAATATCATACCATATTGTTGAGTCGGTCATCAACACTTTCATTGCTCCAGTTTGGTAAATCTTGATCATTCATGCCATCTTCAAAAGGACCTCCTCCCGTGGCCATACTGGCTGTAACGATTAATTCTCTGTGAAACAAGTAAAAACTGCTTTTTAACACATAAAAACAAACTTCAATTTTTAAATCATTCCATGAAGTTTAGCAATATAAAGGAATCTCTAAAATACTGATTTAATAACTACAAAGAGGCACGATAAACTACACATCACAAACAAATTGATTAATTGCTATAGATATACTATGATTAACATGAGGTAAGTAGCTAGACTGATGGAAAAGGGAAGGAAAATCTCTGAATATCCACTATATACGTTGGCCTGTATGCTATAAGATTTATCCATAGCTTATAAAAACCAACAGAAAAAAAGAAAAGAAAAATGTATAGTAAAAAAAAAAAGATTTATCCAATTTATCCAACACATTCCTAAAAGGTAGAACAATGAGGTTAAGAAGGAAATTATATACAGCTAGAACCAGAATTTCCATTAGGAAAGAAATAAAGTATCTCTGTTCTAAGAATGACCTTGGTATAAAGGTCATACCCTAAGGACATGGGCAATAGTTTGGTGCCAAAGAGTCAAAAACAGCAGACCTACTCTGCATGAAACAAAGAGAATATTTTGGTTTTAATAGGAAGGAAGGTACACCAGAATGGTAAACAAGATGATGAGAAGGTGGGGAGAGAGAAGCAGGACTGGGTGGGGTAAATGGCCAATATAATCTAAGAGTGCAGTGGCTAAAAGACATTTTAAGAATAGTGATGCTTATTGCCTTACTTTAATTTACATTACTGCTACCTCATAGCTGTCCCTAAATCTTGATAAAGACTACGAAGCTCAAATCTTCCCCACAAAAAATAAGTGGGATGTTCATGCATGTGAAAATCAAGAAAGGGGCTGAATTTCATACCTGGGTCAAAGAGATGAAAAACAGGCAGCAATGGTGGAAGCAGAAGTTCAGTGCAGAGATGGTCATGAGAAAATAAGATTTCTACATAATTTTATGGAAAACTTTCAATTTCCACTAGCTGTGGATGTGTACAGGTTGAATGGGTGTAGGTGAAGGAGGAAAGGTTGAGATAATTTTATCTAAAATTCAAAAGGCAGGGAAAGCCAAGAAACTACAAACAAAAATGCTAACATTCAAAAGAGATATTTTTGCCAAGGTCATTCGGCTAAAAATGGCAAAAAGAAATACAAAGTGTTGCTCTGATTCTAAGATACTAACTCATCTCATTCACTACAGAATCCCACTGGGATTCTTCTTGGAACTTGACAAAATGATTCTAAAATTCACCTGGAAGAATAAATAAGTCAGAAAAAAATTTTAACATCTTAAAAATAAAAACTAAGAGTAGCAATAGAGGTCAGGAGGGTAGAAGAACTAAACCAGTTTCAACCACGCTTTTCGAATGGTTAAATTAGTACCAGGCCAAGAACAAAAATTCTCCATATACCCAACAGAAATTTTTAAAAGTTAATCACAGCTAACATTTATGTTGTTTACTATTAGATATATGCTAATCACTACATTAAATATGTTATGTCCACTATATCATTTAATTCTCACAACAATTCCATGATGTGGGAGTATTGAATGGATAGGACGATTTACTAACAATTTTGAAAAAGATTTTTATTTAGAGTTTTAACAGTTTTTCCTTAACTATTAATAGTATTCTTCATTTCAATCACAGAACACAGAAAAATGAGTCATTATTTTCTCAATTCTCCCAGGGATGGTATATCCAGTACTGCCTCAGACACACAGATGTTAATTCACATTAAACAATAGATGCCTTAGAGCACTAAAACTTAATTCTCTCCCAATTGTGAAAGGCTGCCTTATAACACCAAAATAGTAAGCAAATTAAAAATAAATATGATTTTAAAAAATCAAATAAATAAACTTTAAAAAAAGACAAACAAGAAAATAGAATGGACTTACTTAAGAATGACTTTAGTAAGAATAGAGATCTTATGATCTTACTAAATTTAGAACATAAAGAAAGAAAAAGTTCAACAGATTTTGTTCACATAAAAGTAAATAAATAAATGACAAACTGGGGGAAAAATCTGAAAGAAATACAAAGTACACAGTCAATACCTTTATCATATGAAGAACTTGTCTAAAAAAACAAGTAAAATAAGCTCAAACAGGTAATTTACAAAAAAAACCCTACTAAATATAAAATAGTAAGAATATATAAAGTATAGCTACAATAAATACTCTCTTAAATACTCCTTTAAAATAAGGGAATACTAAATTTGCTAAATTTCATATAAATTGCATATTACCTAATCCTGATGACAGTAAAGTGAAACTAGAGCTTTTAGATAGTATAGTGAACTATAGTAAACTAGTAAGTATAACCTTTCTGGAAAGCATTTTGGCAATACTACATCAAGAACTAAAACTGAGTTCTTGACTAATTCCCTGTGTCCATATCTAATCTAAGAAAAAAGCTTTAAATATGGGGAAGGAAAACTATAATGAAATTGTTTATTATTCAATTGTGATAAATTGAAAAATAACTAAATGTCAAATGACAAGATGAATGCTATTAGGCAAATTGTCCTACACACACGGGGCACAATACTAAGTATCCTTCAAAACATTTAATTATGAAGGCTGGACCATACTGCCTGTCCTGATAATGTGGGAAAAGTCACAAAAGAGAAAAAAAAGCAATATGGAAATTGTATAGTTTTTTAAAGAAAATATATCAAAATACTTTCATGAAAGCAATTATTAGGGTAGGAATGTGATGAGTCTTCCTTTTTTCTGTGTCTTATGTTTTCAGCAATAGTTTACCTTATTTTTTATTCTAGAAATAATTTTAAAACTTTTTAAAAAATTAATGCCCTTAGAGAGGTATGTTCAGTGAACTGAAACAATTCATTAAAATGAAACACTTCACAACTACTGCTCTCTAGATGTACTGACATAAATAGTAAAGAAGTAAAAAAATAAACATGCAATAGCGTGATACCATATTTAAAAGTACTCAAATTGTTTTAAAATGTAAATTAGGAGGGAAGATTGATATGTAAATTATTCTTACATATTTTTATTTTTAAATAGAACACATTATACTTCTATCAATAGAATTATAAAGTAAGCTTACTTTAAGATAAATTCATTAAGAATATATTTGGAGAAATAATATAGAAATTATATTTCTATATTATGAAAAATTTCCCCTATAATGCAGCTTATTTTAAAGATCTATTTATAGTCCAATGACTTTGAACACTATTAAAATAAGTTTCTAAAACAACTGAAAAACTGTACACTATAATTAGTTTGGAAAAAAACAGACCAAATATATTTTTAAATTTTTTAAAAAGACCATTTACTAAATAAAATATTATCTACTAAGTAAAATAAACAATTTTGTCCACTGTTACACTATGATTGCCATAGGGAATAGAATATTTAATAACTTAAAAATGATACCAAATGCATTTAAAAGGCACACTATTACAGAAGTAAAATTAGTATGAAGCTAGCTAAGAAAATGGTTCATGTGAATCAAATCTTAATACATCAACATTCGTAAGATTTCTCAAAGACAATTTCTTAATACATCAACATTCATAAGATTTCTCAAAGACAATTTCTCAAAGTACCTCTCCCGGTAAGAGTCAGAAAATAATGGCAAGTCATATCTCTCTTCTTCATGCCAACCTCTCTAACCATCTCAAAGTCACCATTAAAAATACAGGGTCTCTGCCTTCTAAATTTTATTCTGTAGGCATGTTAATAAAATAATATTTAAAAGTACAGAAAGACTTCCAATAATCAAAAGACTACGGATATAGAGAAGATCAATTCAAGTAAGATTTCTGTAGCAGAATCAACAGAACTTGGTGATTATAGCAGTATTCCCTTATCCTAGGCTTCACTTTCCCAGATTTCAGTTATCTTTGATCAATCACAATCACAAAATAAATGAGTACAGTACAATATGAATCTTTGAGACAGAGAGAAACCACGTTCATTTAACTTTTATTACAATATGTTGTTCTAATTTTTCTATTTTATTATTAGTTATTGTTGCTTATCTCTTCTGGGCCTAATTTATAAATTAAACTTTATCACATGTATACACATAAGGAAAAAACATACATACAGAGTTCAGTACTATCTGTGGTTTCAGGCATCCACTGGGGGGGGTGTCTTTGGAAGGTATCTCCCGTGGAAACAGGGAGATTACTGTATTAGTATGTGGGAGATGAGGAACTAAGGAGTTAAAGGATGAACCTGAGGTTTCTAGCAACTGGGTATGTGATAACATAGGCAAAGTGATTAGAAAAGGAACAAGTTTTAGTTGCTGAGAGAAGAGGATGATGAGTTCAGTTTTAGAAACGTTGGGTTTGAGGGGCATATGGTATATACCCAATTACATTTTTCTAGTGGACAAATACTGATCTCTCTCTCAAGAGAAATCTGGGCTGGAGAGAGACTTGCAATTCATCCACTCACAAAAATACTTCAGTAGGACAGAAGGCTCAGGGAGAAGACAAAAAGAGAAGATTAGATCCTAAAAGACACTGTATTAAATAGAAAGGCACAGGAATAGGACACTGAGAAGGTAACACAAAGGGGGAAACCAGGAGAGTGTGCTAAGAGAGGAAAAGTGTATTGAGGAGAGTGGGATAAGAAACCAAATGTTACCTTGTCAAATAAGAGAAGTTATGAGAGATGTCCACTTGGATTTAGCAACAAGGTTACTGTTGACCTTGTAAGAAATTTCAGTAGAGGTGGTGAGGGTCCGTACCAAAAATGGAATGCATTATTGAGAGGAAGGGGAAAAAATAAAGGAACTCATCAGGTAATATTTTAAGGAATCACCCTACGAAGGGAAGCAAGCAGAGATGACCAAGAAGAAAGTTTTATTAGAATGGAAGTATCTTGAGCATGTTTGAAATTTGTTGGGAAAGAGGGAGATAATAAAAATGCAGAAGAGGAAGGAGATAAGCAAATCGCATGTGGTGTCTAAGAAAATGGAAGCCACTGGGATCCAGGGCAAAAGAAAAATGATTAGCTTTAGATAGGAAGTGGAACACCTTTTTCATTGAAACAAAAGGAAAGAAAAAAGGATGGAATGAATAGGTTGGAGGCTGGTTTGGAGATCTGGTAGCAGGAAGATGAGGAAGTTCTTAAGTGATACGAACTAGGAAGGACTGCACATTAAATATAAGAGGGTGCTATGGCAGTGTCTGAGAGATCTGAGAAGAGCAGGGAATAGAGAATGACTGTGGGCAGCACTAAGGACTCAGGTGAAACCAGAGACTATTCACTGATATCACTAACATGCATTGCAAATATTTTTTCCAGCAGGGCTCATAAGCCTCAGTATAAACACTCCACTGAATCTACCCAACGTTGGGATTCTGCCAGGCAGGTTTAATAGAAAGACAGTAGGACAAGAAAGTTGAAGCTATTAGAAAATGATGCAGGTGATGAATGATACAGTATGAGTAGCTGAATGGGGATAAAAATAAAATTCTTCTACTTTTAAACAAGCACTTCCTTTCATACTTTGTCCTACTAAATGAAGTTGAAACTATTATTTATAAGTCTCATTTAGCTACTTTTGACAGCCTTACTTGGCTTCTTTACCACATCTACAAAGATATAAATTGAAAATTCACTATGGCAATTTTAAGCTATTTTCAGTGATTGATCTTTTTGAAGAAAACCTTGTTATAGGATTCTTACTATAAAGAAGTATTACATCTGTCTAAGTAGAATATCACCGTATTAATTACCATGATATGCCTATGACTAAAGTATACCTTTGAAATAGGAATACAAGGTGAAGAAATTAAAAGAAATCAAGGAATCAAAAAATCTTTAAACTTTAGATATTATTTCTCGAATGGCATTAAATTACTCAACTACCTCTAGAAATATCTACTCCAGTCTTGCATTTTTCTTGATTTTCTAGCACATGGTTTCGTTCTCCCCTTCATTCCCTGTTTTCATGACCTGAACATTTGCAATGATTTTTCTGAGACTATGTCCTCAATTTCAATGTCCATCTCATCTTCTCTAACATTTTTTTTTTCACTCTGAACTGGTAATTTGTTCAAGATCTTAAAATTCTAAAATTCCTTTTCTGATAATAAGTTCCTGCATTCTACTTTTCTCATTTCCTCATTCCTGTTGAACCTACTGTTGGCCCTACCGCATACCAGTCCCTTAATCAGTTCTCTCTGCCTGAATGCATTACTCTCTTGCATTTTTATTGAAACCCAAACCCAAGTCAGTCATTCTTGACTTCCCCGTCCATTCACCCATTCTGTCAACTAAATTCTGGATAAATCCCACTACCTGCTTTTTCTGCTTCTACTCTCAAACTATTGAAACAGTAGGGAAATAGTCATAAAATGTCATGAACCGTGTCCACTAATAAGGTATAATATACTACACACACACAAATACTTTCAAAATCTAAGTTTACTCCATGAGGTAAGGCATCTTGTCTGTTTTGCTCATTGCCATATCTCTAACACTTTACAGTCATTACATAACACATTGTAGACACTCAATTAAGTTTGTTAAAATGAGTGTATTGCTAACGTATCTCTTGTTGGCTTTTTACTGAATTCCCCGGCATAATTATCCCACAGCCTTTCTAGTTCTTTTGTAAGTCTCAAATCCACCTTGCCTCCTTCAGGAACAAATGACCAAACCCCTATTGCAAAAACCTGGCCTTCCAATGTGAGCTAACACGATTATTGTATTTTTTATTCCTCTTACTCATCTTCTCTAACATGCCAAAAGGAAAACTATAACTGATTTTACAATTCTATTTTACAATGCCTATTATACAGCAATCACTCTAGTGTTAAAAACTCTAATACACACACTAACATTTGAGCTTTCCCCTGAGTTTAATATTTCTTGTCCTATTTTGTTACAGTGTTCCAGTTTAAAAAACAAAAACCACTAAAACACTGAGAATTATAATTAAGATATAAATCAACTACTGATTTTTATTTTCTCATGATAGTCTCATTTCAGGTCCTCTTAGGGGTGCTAAAACTCTGCTTTTGTAGAAAGCATGATATATATTAAACAAATTTTGAAAATGGACTTTCTCAAAATTTTAACAGTAAATTGAATTCAGATTTTTTGAGGTTTTTAAAAGAACACTTATTCCTAAATGATTATAAAATTTCTTCTAATTCTCACCCTTTATTTATTTATTTATTTTCCAGAGACAATGTCTCACTCTGTTGCCCAGGCTGGACTGCAGGGTGTGATCATAGCTTGCTGCAGCCTCAATCTCCTGGACTCATGGGATTCTCCCACCTCAGCCTCCCAATTAGCTGGAAGAATACCTTTATATAATCAGCATTTGACAATGCACTATGTACAAAAACTAATGTTTAAAGTAATTTTAGACAACTAAAAGAACTTCAGTTAAGGTATAATAAGTTCAAGAAGTAGAGGAGTTTATGAATAAAAAATAAACAGCCAATAATAAAAATTGTAGAAGATGATAACTTTAGATTAAAAGGGTTAGGAAAGAGAGGCTATTCAAAGAGTTGTTATATGACAAATTCAATCTCAACTGGGCTGAAGAAATTCTGTGAAGACAAATTTCAAGAAGTACTGCATAAACCATTCTAGTATTTAATAATTAGGAATGGCATGGCTCTTTTCTGAGAAAGGGATGAAGGCAGACCGAAGTGGCACACCAAAAAGCAGGCAAACAGGGTAGCAAACCCAGAATGTTTACTAAATAGTGAGGGTCCTCAATCATGCACTGTTAATTTGATATTAACAGCAGTCTCCATCATAATCTCTTTCAATTATAATACAAAGGACAATTATATATATAAAAAATGATGTCAAATTACCTGTTTGGAAACTAGTTTTTGCAGCTCAGAAACGGCTCCTTTCCTGCTCCAACGTCAAAGCTGTTGCCTGCTTAGGATTTTTTTTAAAAAATCACTTTAGTAAATTCTTTACTTGCACCATGAAGTATAACAAATACATTATTTATGGTCTAAAATGTTTAGAAAATCAACAGAAGAGGAAAAATACATTTTATCAATATTTTAAACTCAAGTTACCTCAATCTTCTTAGAAAATGTGATATACATATATGTTTAAATCCCCCAAACTTCTAAAATCCTACCAAACAGCAAAGTATTATCGCTAACATCTACTTTGGAATAGTATAATGAAAACGATTAACCCTAATTATAATTTAAAAATCCATGCTCAAGATTACTTTTCTGATTATCAAGTCAGTTATTTCCTGTCACTCAAACTATTTAAGAACTTTGTATATCTGATGATAAAAAAATACTTAAAAGCTAGCTACTGTACTTCATCACAAAATACCTTTGTCACACGAACACAAGGTTTCCCTTCAATTCAAAACCTCAATATTACAATGGTGCTCAGTGGCCCCCAGCAGGAAGGTGATAGGGAAAGAAAGGAGCAGGTGCACCCAAAGCGCTACAACACCCACTCCAGTAACCAGAGAACGCGAGAAGGCGGAGTCTGGAAAGCGGTTATGGGGCGGGGGTGGTAGTGGCGCCCCAAAAGCCCGCTTCTTCCAGCGCCCAAACATGATCCGTCACTGGAGGACACAGACCTCAAACCGACCAAAATAAAAAACAAAACAAAACAAAAAACATTCAGACTAGGCAAACTCCCGGGGAGTGGGCTGCAGGATGAAAAGTTCGAACGCCCAGCCTTCCTGGAGGGGCCTAAGACCAAATCCCCAAACACGAGTTTCTGCAAAGCATGCTACGTTTGCCAAATCCCACTTGGCATTTGGTTTTCCTGGATCCTAGGCCCATTTTAACTAGATCTGCAGTGAGGGATGGAGAAGGGGCCAGTGGGAGGGGGGTGGGGGAGCGTTGTTAAATTAACTTTCCCTTCCCCAAGTATAAACAAACTACCTCTCTGCCGAAGTCAGGAACGCCTCCCCCGGCCCTTCGGCTCCAAAAAAAAAAAAACCAGAGACGGACGAAATCCTGCTGCTCACAGCTCAACTTAAACTCTCAAGGGTCGCCTCGCTCCGCATCCGCCCTTCTCCACCCGAAATTCTGGACATCGAGAGCCCCACAGAATGGAATTTGAGGGAGCGCGGTCGGGGGGACTACGGCTACCAAGGCCTCTTTCTGTGAGAACTCGACCCCGTGCCCGTGGCGCCCAAGCCAGGGCCCCCGCTCCGCCGCCTCCACCCGCAGGGGCATTCCGCGAGCACCCGGGACGCAGGCCGGCCTCCTCCCCAGGGCCGGGAAGAGGGGCGGGGAGCCAAGAAGGGGATTCTGCAGTCGCCAACGCGTCCCCACAGGCTCACCCGGAAGATCGCGTCGGCCGGTCCCGGGGGAGGGGGCGGACTGTCCGCCTCGGGGACGTGAAGGTGGCCGCAAGAAGACGAGGAGCCTACAGAGGAGGGATGGGCCCGAGGCCAGGCCCAACAGGGTCAAGCGTCCCAGAGCCGTTACTCTCCCGCCCCTGTGGCGCGCTGCCCTCGGTTGCCAAGGGCTGGAGACGCGCAGGCATTACCTGTAAAGGAAGCAGCCTCTCCTGTCAAGGGCGGAGTGGCGGTCAGCCCCAACGACCCACCCCCCCGGCAGCGGTCCTCCCTGCGAGACCACAGCAGAGTGGTCCACGCGTTGCCTGGCTGCCTCGGGCCCAATGGCCGCCCTTCCCACCTCAGCTACTCGGCGCCAACCGCCGCAGCCAGCGCCATCTTAGGTTCTCATTGTGGTGGGAGAAGAGGGGCGGGGGGACTGCAGAGGGGACAACGCGCAGGGAAACATGCGCCGTCTCCTCGGCAACGGCCGCGCGGGGGCGAGAACTCGCCCGGATGAGAGCCGCAGTGCGATCGACGCTCTAGGCTGGAGTCATGTGACCCGCCGGAGTCTGTGGTGTCACTTCTGGCTCTTTTACGCAAACGCACAGCCAGAGACTACATGTCCCAGAATGCCAGCTCGAACTCGAGTTATAAATGCTCTCCCTCCGCAAGGTGGAGGACTACAGATCCCGGCATGCTGTGCGCTTCCGGCGCTGAGCGCGGAACGAGAATCTCGAGGCCTCTTGCCGAAGCGAGCCGACCTCTCGTCAGCCGCCGGGAAGTGAGTGGAGGCGTGCTTTGGGTTTCTGTGGGGGTATCAGGTCCGGTCCGTGCCGGAAGAAGAAGAACAGGCTGGAGTGGCTTTTCCATTCCCTGCCCACGCACGTCCCAGTCACAAGGGGATGAAAACAAAAAGGCCCTTATTATCTAGTTCAGCCCTCTAATTTTACACGTCAGGAGATAAATCCACGGAAATTAAAACAATTTGCCAAACATACATAGCTAGTCAGTGGAAGAATCATAAACATATTGTCAATAATTAACACTCCTTTTGATTAATGCCCTATTTTGTTAGAAGAATCAAATAATTTTAATCAGAATTTAATCTCGGTAATTTTCTCTGAGTTCCCTTTTTATTTATACTCTTACATTAGCAGATTAGTAAACTGGCAGGTCCTCCTTTGAAACAAAAACAAAAATTCGGTAAAATGACGATGAGAATCTTCAATGTGCCTGGCCGAAAAGTTAACACATCTGTCCATTTTAGTTGAGTGCAAGGGCAGTCTATTTTTAGGCAGTTTGTTATTGCGGGATAGGATTTTTTTTTTTTTTTTAATCAAAATAAGGGTAGGGAGGAATGAAGAATGGGCTTTTGGGTTCCACCAACAACTAAAACAAATTGTTCTCAATTACCAACAGGAATTGTTCAGAAAAACAATTACAGAAATGAATCTCCGTACACAATTCAGATAATAAAGCTCTTCCAGCCCACTGCAATTTGCTGTTTCTAGGTTTAGTCATCAGTGAAATGATCCTTGGCGCTACTATTCATTTGTATTTTTTTTTTTTTTTTACTTTCTGTGTGTCTAACATCACCAAGCACTGAGGTAACAAAAACTTAGTCATTTCCCTTGAAGAGCTCATATTTTAGTGAAGGATGGGGGAGTGAGGTGTGACATAAAATTCAGTATTCTAAGAAAAAGTGCTGTGGGAGCTCAAAGCAAATAGCAATTACCCAGTCAGGTGTTTATTGTAGTCCAGAATGCCCTATCCTAATTATGCCACTTTAACTCTTGGACTAGTTACTTAACCTTTCTGAGCCTCAATTGCCTCATCTATTAAATAAAGAGGAACAAATAATACTGCCTACTTTGAAGGGATTAAAAAAACTTTTCTTTGAGTTTGTTGTATGCCAGACACAGTATTAAGCACTTCAGCTATTGTGATTTTCTTAATTCTCACAACTACTGTGAAGAGGTTGGCTCTCCATCTGACCCATTTTACAAATGGAAGCTTCAATAAATCAAAGTTTTAGCAGCTCCAAGTGATAGAGCCTAGATTCAAAACAAGGTCTGCCAGATTCCATACAAGAATTTATTATTATTATTATTATATAAAAAACACATAGAAAAATGCACTAGCAAATGGTAAGGCCCCAAAATAGTTAGCTACGGTTGTCATCATCATTTTGTTTTACATATATATTATTATTTTTCAATGTATGTAGAAACTATTGTCATTAAAACACTTCAAATAAGTTAAAAAGCATGACTGAAATTATCGAAGCTACTCGTCATTATGTTTTCTGAATTTCTGAAGCCCCAAACTGTTAATACTATTATTTGTTAGGTGGTAGGAGGAATTTGAGAAATATTAACATTAAAAAGGTCCTCATACTCAAGTATGGGCATTATTGATTTTTGTAGGGGAAGGAAGAGAGGAAAAAACCCAAAAAACTACAAAATTATCCCTGGCTTCTAAAAATTTAACATCTAATTTAGGGAACAAATCTTATCAAAATGAATCAGTGTACTATCAATAGTGTGTGACTATACCAAATAAATTATATAGACAGTTAAGTGCTTTAGTAATTCAAAGGGGAAAAAAGGGATCTGTTATCTTAGAGATAATTGCTGCAGGATTTCTACCTAGGACAAAATTGGGGGCAGAAGTCTGTGGAAATGTAGAAAGGAAACAGAAAAGTGGTCCCTAAAAGATAAACATTGAAACTGTGTTTTGGTCTTCTACATTTAGGAAAACAACCTAACACATGCGTTAAAGATGGGGATGGGGGAGATCTAAACAGCAGAATGATGTTCAAGGAAATGGAGCACACTAGGAACACAGAAAATACATCCAGAATAAACAACAACAAACAGACTGGCTAAAGAGGAGGATTTATATGGGGTGAGGGATGGGGAGATGGGGTAAGGCAAGATTGAGTAACAGGTTGGGCCAAACTACAGAAAGTCTTAACTACTGATCTGAAGAGTTTGGGCTTTGTTATGCAGATAGCATGAAAGCACTTGAGATTTTGGAAGAGGGCAATGATATAATGAAATGGTTGTTTTAATATGTCAATCTAGTGGCAATGTTTCGTACAGACTAGGAAGAAGAGAAGAAAAGGGAGAGACAAGAAGAGCAGACTGTAACTGGCATGAAGTTAATTAAGGCCTGGCCTAAGGTATTAGCAGAACAAATAAAGGACTGGAATTTCTATTAACATAGTCTAAATCAGTTGTCGTGAGGTGTAAACTACTATTTGTTTCTGGTTTGGGGTATTTAGTAGGACACTGATGAGGCAGTACTCACAGTGCATTTTGTGCTGTATTGTTTGCCTCTTTGATATATTCTATATGTTGTTATCCACAGATGGATGGTAAGCATGGTTATAACAGAAACCCTGTCTTTTATACTTCTATTTATCTCAATGCCTTGCAATTCATTTATTTTAACGTTCATTAATTTGGTCTTTGAAACAACAGTTATATGCAATACCTAGTATCAACCAGCAGATGGTGATAGAACCTAAAGGAAAAATCTTCAGTGACTAATACTACCATTACAATGGAATTTTCTTGTTTGTATTGTGATTTTTGATACACTCAAAAGAATATGACGTATATGTAAACTATATAAAGTACAATAATGAAATAAACACTCAAGAACCCACGATCTAACCTTAAAAATATAATTTAATCAATAAGTATAAGGACCTCCCATGCTTTTCTGCAAACTTATTCCTCTTCTTTTCAGACAGAAATAATATCCAGAATTCAGTGATCATTGCTTCATTTTCTTTATATAACTATGGGTCCCTAAATAATATGTTGTGGGGTTTTTTTGTTTTTGTTTTTGTTTTTGCTTTTTTAAAGCTTTATAGAAATGGTATCACACTGAATATATTCTTGCTTAACTTCTTTCAACATTTTGTTTCTGAGATTCCTCCATGTTGACAAGTATAAACACAAAATCTATTAAGAACAGAATGTTAAATTAATTTTGGAATATTCACAAAAGCATATAACTGATTTTAACTTGAATTTGTGGGTAACTTGATAGAGAAAGAGATTGGTCATGCCAAACAAGAGACTAGTTGGAAACCCTTGTCCTAGTTCTTAAACCTGTTGGTTAAACTTAAGCACTGTTACTTCTCTGTCTTAACCTAGCCCAGAGCTTCTTAACCTTGGTACTATTGACATTTTGGGCTGGACAAGTCTTGTTCTGGGGGCTTTTCTATGCACTGAAGGTTGTTTTGCAACATCTCTGGCCTCTACCCACTGGATGCCTGGAGCAACCCCCTCCCCAGTTCAGTTGCAAAAGCAAAAATATCTTCTGACATTGATTGCCAAGTAGGCCCTGGAGCTGGGGGAGTGGGGAGGATTTTTCTTATGTACTTCGTTTTCTCAGCAACCTGAAGTTTATATATATAATTAAATCAGTTAGCTATTACATAATTATATCAACTAATTATAGCAAATCCCCATACATAAGTAATGTTGCCAGACTCTTCTTACCTTGCTCTGTTTTCCCTGTATCTAATTTCCATGACATCTCTCATTACTGCCTACTTTGGACTCTTTATTATTAGATTTAAAAACACCCAATTACTGCTGTCAACATACAATATTAATGTTTATACCAGTCTGAACTGTCCTTTCCTTCATAACCAATTTTCTTTCAAGAATCACTCGTTCAATAAATGTAACCCTTGTGATTCTGATAATTCCATCCATACTTGCATTTATTCAGTCTTTACATGGCTTTACTTCTGCAGAGTTGTAATTACTGTACAATTCTTCCTATATTTTCCCTGTCTGTATTCTTAGGAGGGGGTTATGATTTTACCCCAACTTCTGCATTCGTTGCAAATCTGGTTGGAGTTCAGTAGTGTAGTCCTCTGTAAAATACTTACTTCCCAGGATATATCAAGTTGGAGGGATTTAAACAAAGATACGAGTAACAAGAAAAGAACTACAGTGAAAATAACCTATATTTTTTTCATAGCCTCCCACCATCCCTACAGCAGAACTCTAGTAAGTATAACTAGAATGTAGATTGTTAAGAAAGTAGAGAAATTGAGGAATTAGATGGGACAGTTTAAAAAATATGAAAACGTGGACCGCTACAGATTTGGTTTCCTACTTCATATGAAAAATGTTAGAAAGCCATAGAAATTAAACCCCATCTTTTACTTTAAAAATCCTATTATAGAAAACAAAATTATATGAAATAAGGACTCACGATTGCCATGATTATAAGGGAGTCATCTGGAGTGGCTTTATAGAAGATGAACTCTGGGTTAGACAAGTGTCTTTATTCACAGAACTAAGCAGAGCTGCAGGTGACAACTAGATTTGGTATATGCATGCACATGAGTGTGGCCCAACAGAGGAATATGCAGCGTGATTGG